AGGATGTCGAGAAGGCCAAGAGCCGAGCGGGCAGGAGTGACATCTTCATCCTCACTTGACAGATCGCCCAGTTCGGTGACGATGTGCAGAGCCTTGAGGGTCAGCTCTTCTCCAATCCTGAGACCCTGAATCTTGAGCCTCCTGTAACGGACGCATTGCATGAGGAAGGCAAGAGCCTGGGAGCGGTAGTCATCCTCAACGTTTGTGCTAGAGGCAAGTTCCAGCATGAATTTGACAAGGTCACCAAAGTGCTTTGCCAATAGTGCAGACTCGCAGCCGAGAAGGGTCTGGAAGACCTCGAATGCCTGCATAGCACGGTCCTCATCACCCTCATCGACGGTGGCCTTGAGAACGTTGACCATGGCAGGAATAGATGCCTGAAATAGAGCAAGCGCCTTGGGATCCTCGTCGGGCTCGAGGAGCATGGCCAGGCGGCTGAGACCAAGCATGGTGTTGATTCTGACCTCGACACTCTCCGGGTCTTGGATAGTGGAGCTGAACAACTTGTACAGATCGGCAGGCTTAGCAGGGAAGGAATCGCCCACCGATTCGAGAGTTGTGTAGATGATGTAGGTGCCAACCTCACGTTGTCGGACGTTGGCGCTGGTAGCAGCCTGCTGGAGGTATCCCGGGAGGTCAGCCCACTCGCCATCCTCGAAGTCTATGGCTGCGATAGCAGCAATGACGCGGGCAGCAGAGTGGCGGGTAAGGGCGACATCTTCGTTGAGTGTGAATTGAAAGATCTGGTTGCGAAGGGAAGCCTTTTGTTCAGCGGGGAGGTTTGCCCAGTGCTTTGTCACGAGCTTCCTCGCCTCTACAGCAGCCAATTGGCGCAGCGCAGGCTTGGGGTGGGCGCAGAGAATCTGAAGCAGGGCATTGAGAGAGGCAGGAGAGCTGTAGTAGCTCTTGTTCAGAGTGGAAGTAGCGGCCTTGACACGCTCGGTGTTGGCTGGAAAATTGTCAGTCGAGAATCATGGGCAGGCGGGGCAAGGCTACTTACGCTCCAAGAGGCCCTCGAGGAGCTGGACAAACTGTTGCTCGTCCATGGCGGCGCTCTCACAGTGTAAGTATGCAGAAAGCTTGCCTAGGGTGGTCTCTCGCAGAACAGCGCAGACCAATATTGACAGTTGTGGAGGAAGAGCGCTGGGCCGCACATTCTTTGAGGTGGGGATTGGAACTTTTTTTACGCTAGTCTCAGGGTCCAGCGAATTAGGTAAGCCAGGCTGGCAGCCAATGACGGCAGTGCGCGGCCGGAGGAGCTATGGCTTCCTCCGGAGGCTGCTTGCGTGCAGTATGCAGCTCAAGTGCGTGCGCAGAAAGCATAATTGGTTGCGTGTTCCATTGTGCAGCACAACGGCCTGTCTTTGCTGGATGAAGCTTTGACCGGCCACTCGAGCAAATTTTAGAAGAGACAGAAAGGTCAGCTCTGGGGCTCAGAGCGAAGGCGCCTCAGCTGCACCAACATCAATGCTGCATGCTGAGTGGCGCGTAGTATGAGCAGGGTGAATTGCCGGTGCGGTGGCGCTGATATGGGGAGTTTTGGTGCTCAATCGGGAGAGGGGGTGGAAATGGCTGGCTGCCATGCTGTAGCCATGACGAGCAGCATGGTTACAACGAGGCGGCGCTCAGTGAACAAGAGACAAGCAGACTGGGGCTACGAGGCGCCAATGGCCATGAGATTGCAAAGAGCAGAAAAGGAGGCAAAGACAGACATGGAGAATGTATGCAGAGCTGGACGCGAAAGAGAGAGTCGAAGGCACAGGGAGGTCCAGCCAGGTGCAGGACAAGGTGATAGGACGCGCTAGGCTGGGGTCTGTGCGGCGGAAAGCTGTTAGCAAAAACAGAAGGAGCAACAGCGGCCAGCACAAACTCGCCGCTGCCATCACAAACGAGGAGGCCTTCTCTACTATTCTTCTCTCTTAGTCCCTACATTGTAATTCCCTACCCCGCCCCGCCCGCGCCCTCCCCCCATCACCACGTCTGCAGACCTCACTCGGACACGTTACCTGACCCCTCCGCCTCCGACTCCATGGCTTCAGTACGTCAGGCACTCCCGCGCTGATACCGCCACATGTGACATCGATGCTGACCTCGTCCAGCAAGCTCCCAATCAGCCGCGCCCCTACCCAGGCAATTACCTTCCTAACGGCGGCGCTCCTGGTGTCCCCTCAGGCCCAGCGCCTGGAGCTGTCCCGCTGCTTCCCAACCAGGGCCGCGTGATCCAGCAAGGAAGCGTACGAGTTCTCTGCATTGCCGATGTTCGAGGTGGGTACAACCTTCGTCTTGGGTGCAATGGCATATACTGACGTTGTAAAGGAAACCTGCAATCGCTGAACCAGCTCGCCGCCGATGCCCGCGCAAACTACATCATCCACACTGGCGATTTCGGCTTCTACGATGACCGCTCGCTGGATCGCATTGCCGAGAAGTAGGTGCCCGCATGTACTCAATCACCCTCTTTCAGAGCTGACTGGTCCAGGACTCTCAAGCACGTAGCCCAGTACTCGCCGCTCCTATCAGACACGGTCAAGCGCTCCATTGCCTCGGCACCGCCTCAGCCTCCCATCAAGGAGCGCTTCGCAAGAGAACACCTGCCCCTCTCAGAATTGCCCCTCTTCTTAAACAAGACCTTCACACTAAACGTGCCTGTATACACTGTGTGGGGAGCATGCGAAGATGTCCAAGTCCTTGAGAAGCTGCGGTCGGGTGAGTACAAGGTGGACAACCTACACATCATCGATGAGGCGCATTCACGGCTACTCGACGTCGGTGGTGTCAAGCTGCGACTACTCGGTCTTGGCGGTGCTGTCGTTATGCACAAGCTCTTCGACAACGGCGAAGGCAGGACTACCATTGCAGGTGGACAGGGCACAATGTGGACCACCCTGCTGCAAATGGGCGAACTCGTCGACACGGCCAACCGCGTATACGACCCGACCGAGACCCGCATATTCGTCACCCATGCTTCCCCCGCGCGTGAAGGTCTGCTCAACCAGCTGTCTGTCACATTGAAAGCCGACTTCTCCATCTCTGCTGGTCTGCATTTCCGCTACGGCAGCTCCTATAATGAGTTTAGCGTCAACCCAACCCTTGACCACTACCGCGGAAAGCTCGCCGCTTCCAAGGCTTCGTTCAACGATGTTTGGGATACAGTCAAAACTGAAGTCGAGCCTGCTGTCGCCGACAGCGAGTCCCAGCAGCGCCTCCTCGCTCTGGCACTTGAAATAGTGAACAAGATGCCCACAGTGGCCAACGGCGGCAATCCTTTTGGCGGTCCTGCTCCAGGCCCCCAAAGCGGCGTTATCGATGAGAGTGCATTCAAGAACATGTGGAACTTCAACCTTGCGGATGCTGCCTATGGATGGCTTGTCCTGGATATTGACAATGGCAGAATTGGTACTGAGATGAGGGCTCAGGGTTTCAACTTTGCCCACCGAGGTGGCAAGGTCGCGCCAGGCCAGACTCAGCCTGCGGCCGCCAACACTTCAAGCGGCCCTCCGGCTGCTGTAAACCCCAGCCCCTCTGCTCAGCCATCCCCTGTTCCTGGACGTCAAGGTGGTCCCCCCACGAGCGCCCCTCAGCAACCTCGCCCAGCGGTCGCCACCCCACCTGTTCCTCAGCAGAAACCCAACAGCGGCACCCAGCCCGTACGCGCTGCTACCCCTAAGGAGCCCATCAAGGCCGCCACCCCACAACCCCCAGCCAACAACGGAGCTTCCAATGCTGGAGCTGAGAAGTCGGCTCCTAGCGAAGCCAAGCCCAATGGCACCGCGGCCCCAGAGAAAGCCGCATCGCCAGCACCCAGGGAACCCGTCGAGCGGAAAGAGAGCAAAGGACTGTTCATCGCCGGTGTCAAGGACGAAGAGGAAGCCAAGAGCCTGCTAGCGGAGGAAGATCGGTCCAAGATTGAGAAGATTGAAAAGATTAAACATTTTTTTGTCGCCCACTTCCCCACATCGCAAGATATGCATGGCGCTCTTCGTCGCGTTGCGGATGATGTCAGGAATGCTAGGGGAGGACCAGAGAACAAGACGGTCAAGATCTATAACGAACGCGGCCCAGGCAGCAACCAACCCAGGTACGGTGCTGGTAACTGGCAGGCCAGCAACCGGGGCGGTGTTCAAGGTGGCGGCTACCGAAGTGGAGGTGCTTCTGATAGCGAAGGTGGTCGCGGTGGCCGTGGCGGTCGTGGTGGCTCTTCGCGGGGTGGACGAGGTGGAGAGCGAGGCGCTCGTGGCGGTCGAGGAGGAAGGGGTTCGTTCAGGGGCGGTGCAGGTGAAGGTGCGGCAGCATCCACTGGAGGCGAGTCATAAGACTCTTCCCTCTTTCTCGGCGGCCGCATCTCTATATTCTCACCGACTCTGATACCCCCACTTGTTTCTTTTTCGGTTTCGTGTTAACGGCTTTTTTAACGACGGGTATGATGCGACGTTGAACCCTCTCTTCCTCTCCCTCCTTGTCTTTTTTGTAAGCTTCACAAACAAAAAATTTCACGCCTTTTTTAGAGGGGATCAACTTGCTGTTTCTTGTGGTTTTCAAAGGCTGCTTATCATGGTTCTCTATGGGTGTGCGAACCCGTTTCTCTTTCCCCTCGCTGAATCACATCCCCCTCTTTTTTTGGGGGGGGAAGCGGGACATGGAGTTGTATGTAGTAATGCTAGATACGTATCTCTCATTATTTTCTCTATCATCATAGTGGGGTGTACGTGGAGATTAATGGCGATTTTGCACAGCTTGTGCCTTACTTATCTATGTCTGAACCCTTTTTCCTAAACCGTTCTTCGTGCTGGTGGTTGAATGACTGCTGGTATACAAGGGAGTCTGATGATGATAGTGATGAGAGAAAAGGGGAATCACGCATTGCAAGCATCATCGGAAGCGATATAATCGACACCAAAATCGTATCAAAAATGAATACTGTATTCAATACTAGTAGTGATTATTCCCTGCAGTATTTTGATTCAACAAAACAAGTTGGCTGTATCAATACCGAGCGCATGTCACAAGATAACACACAACCCAGCTAGCGCTTCAAAACTCAAACTGCAGCAATCCCACCACATCCCTGCAGTATCTCCACAGCAGTCGCATAACTTAGATGCTTCACCGGGGTCCCGTCTTTGATTGTTGGCCTGCGTCGTTTGATGATTGACCGGTGTCGTTGCCGGCTGTCTATTCTCCTCGCTCTGCCTTGCTCTCATAGGCTCATTCGGATTTCGGAACTGCAGAAATCGTTCGACCGGTAAATTTGAACGCGTGGGCATGCTAGGATTCATGACGATGCGGGGGGCAAGGTCCATGTCTGGATCGCGAGAATCATCTACCAGAGGTGGTGGCGCGGGAAGATGGCCACCGTCGCCTGGGTAGGGTGGACCGGGATCATTATCTGAAAGCAGCTCCTGAAAGTTGGATTTGACAGTTTGGGATACGCTTGATCGGGGCTGGATCACTCGAATAACAGGAGGAGGTTCCTCGCGAATCACCATGGGACAACGCCTAAGTTCGCCATCCTCCCTGCCAGCGGATGAACGGGATTGTGATGGATGTAAATGCGAATAGTTTGGCATGCGTTCCTGTGGAGATTGATTTGTCAAGGTCTCAGAAGACGACCATACACCAGATCCACGCGTATTTGAAGAGTCAGGCACCTGCAAGGTGGCTGACGATACGAAGCCAGGTGATGCTCCTTGTTCAAGACCCAGTATCCTTGTAGCACGCGAATAATCGAAGGGCGTAGTTGCGTGGTCACCTTGAAGCAATAGGTGCTGTAACCATTCTTGAGGGGAAGGATATGTCGATCTTATTGAAGGTAGCGAGCTGAGTGTAGATGAAGGCGGTGCGTATTTCTTTTCAGAGTATTCTTCATCCTCTGAATCGGCTCCGCCTCGTAAACGAAGTTGTACTGAATCAGTGAGTGTCAAATTATCCAGTTCAGGGCCGATTTCGTTCAGGTGTGATGTCGAAGGAGCTCCAGCTCTGCGACTAGACAATGTTCTGGCGATTTCGGAACTTGATTTTGATGGCCGACCCGGAGTAACAATCCATGCTCCCCTTTGGCCACTTTCAGTCTTTGCAATGGGCTCAGGCAGTAAGTTTCGTGGTAGCATTCTATCCCCGATATGGTAAACGCTCCACTCATCAGTGTTAGACGAGATAAGGGCACTCGGGTTATCTTGCATAGATTTCGAACGCCTTGCCAAATGCTGTACACGGTCAACATGTGAGTGCAGTCTTGTATCGACCAGCTCCAAGAAGGAAGTTCCATCTATGGTTCCAATCAAACGCGGGCTTGTGGAGACGCTCGTGGCTGAAGCCCTGTCTGGCAGCGGCTGCTCATCTTGGTTATCTGAGACAAATTCGTCTGATGATGAAAACCATACAGTATCGCATGCCCCGATAAATTGCGGAGTTGGTGAAAAGCCAGGCGGAATGTTTAGGGGCGTCGGCCTGAACTTCCCTGATAAAGAGGCCTGTGCATGTACAATTGGACGCACTGAATCGCTTGTAGCGTGTCTCAGATGACACCTGGTGTTGTATGTTGGATCACCTTCGACATCCGACCAACACGGAAGAGCATCAAATTCCTCGTCTGTCATATAGGCCGGATGGGAATCGTTTGGCCCTTGATTGGGATCCGGGCTTTGAGCGCGCCTCCCTATTGCTACTTCTGCTTGTGAGATTTGCACCAGTCCATAGTCATCTTGCCGCTGTAAACTTCTCGAATTTCCCTGTTGCACGTTTGGTTGATCCAATTCATTCGTCTCAGCCGCACCGTGCTAATGGCTGGTCTGAGAACCAGTTTCTGGATCAGGTAGAGTGCGCCCTGATGGTAGTGGTAGTTCTCGAGCATGCTGTGATGAGCAGCGTTTTGTTGTATCTGGAGATGCAAACATGGAAGACATAGGTGATGACATGAATGAAGGCGTACGTGAAAAGGAGTCATTGAGAGCTGTATATAGCGACGAGGTAGTATGAAGTGACATATTCGGTGTCGACATGGCACATGAACCTAGCACATGGGGGGATGATGCAGCGTTGGGTGATTGACGCGAAACACTACAGAGGTCAGAAGCTTTCTCACAATGGAGTAAGAAAGACTGCAAGGAGATATACCTTGGAGAATCTTCCTCACTGGCACCTTCTGAACTGCCTCCGCCACGCAGAGATACGAATGGCGGTGTTGAAGGGCATTCGCAAGAAAAACCGTATCCACTTTCGGCCCACTCAGAACCTTGATCTGTTCTTTCCGACTCATCAGAGGACAGTGTTATCGTCCTTTGCCCTTTTGTCTCACCATCCTTGCCATTGGTGTCAATGTCACATTCATAACCGGTATCAGGTCTCGTCTCTGGTACAGCCACTATGGCTGTGATATCCGATTCTTGGATTTCCACATCTACAATGTATACTCTTGGCATTTCCCTTGCGGTGGTCTCGTCTCGGAAAAGCTCTTTCTATGAGCCTACTTCATCAGCCCAGCTACGGCCCTTTTCCATTGGCGATGGCAACCCGAAGGAGTCTTGCTTCTGGATAGTTGGACGTTCGGGTTCGGGTTCGGGGTCCTTAGTTTCAACGGCTTTGCCTTTTGCTGGAGGAAGCTCTGGGAAGTCTGCGGCAGAAGGCGGGGGATTGCCGAACTTCTTCTGCTCTGCTGGTCTTGATCCCGCTCCGTCATAGTCGCCACGTCCACCTCGGCCTCCTCTTCCACCGCGGCCTCTGCCACGTCCCCGGCCAGAATGCGTCATAGGCTCATTATAATCGTCGCCGTTGAATCCATTGTTCGCTGGTCGTGAGGGCGCAATACCGCCGTGAGCACCTCTGGCAGCGCCTCTGCGCTTGTCGTCTCCAATACCTGAAAAACCATCCTCTTTCTCCAAGTCCCACTCTCTGCCCTGTTGTGCTTTCAACTTGCGCTGTCGGTTCTTCTCGCGCTCGCCCATCATCTGCTGACGGCTCTGGCGTTCGGCCTTTTGCTTCTCAGCTAGTGCCTTCTTACGCTCTATATCCTGCTGCTGCATAACCGCTTCGCGAGCCTCAAAATTGCCCTTGTCGGCTTCAGCGCGAGCGTGGGCGGTCTGGCGAGCTTCGTTCTTGATGCGCATGTTGGCAAGCTTAGCATTCAATTCATCCTCGGTCAGGCGTGTGCGTGCGGCGCCACCAGTGAGTGTCCTGTCGCCGCGCACAGAGTGGGTTGGCTTTTCTTTTGGTTCTGTGGGAGCAGATGGAGGAGCGGATGAAGAGTCGGCATTTTCTGGAGCGGCCTTGTCTGCAGTCACGGGCTCCGCCTCTTTTGGCGCCTCGACAGCCTTTTTGTCGTTTTGTTCGAGCCGAATATCAGTGTTATGGCCCCCACGGCTCCTCCCACGGCCCCTTCCTCGTCCACGGCCGCGGCCTCCTCTATCGTTGTTCCTGGGCTCTCTTGAGGCTTGCGGCGCCAAATGCGCCTGTGGTGCGACAGGTGGCTTTGGCTCTTCAGGTACAAACTCGGGAGCGGAAGGCTGTAGCTCTGCTGGATTTGCCTCGACGACTGGCTCAGCAATAGGCGTGATATCGTCGTCAAAGAATAGGTCGTCGGTGCTTGCAGTTTGAGCGAATGGGTCTATTGAGGGGTCGTCATAGGCGGGGTCGTAGGACGCGCTGACAACCTGGCATTCTGTTAGGACAGTTTCGTGGACAGGAACACAAAATGTGTATGATAGAAAGGGAAACGACAACAGTCGCATCAGATACCACATACCGCTGCATGACTAACCTGAGCTGGTGCTGGTGCTGCTGGCTCAGACGGTGGTTGTGGTTTTGGCGGGGTCTTGTCGGCGACTGGCACTGGAGTTTTGTCTGCCTCGTCGGGCTGTGTTGCCCACTTTGACTTGAGCATGATGTGTGTGGAGTGTGTGTATTTGCGTGCAATAGCGAGTCGTGGTGCTAGAAAGAATATCTAGTAATAGCGAGTGAATACGTCCTGTGCTAGCAATATCGTGAAGTGGACATGTGTGGTGGAGAGGAATGATCGCTACCTGACCCGAATTACATACTACGTATGCACTAGCACTTGCAGCAACCCTTGACCGGTCCAAGCTCCACAATTCATCCCCCGCACTTGCTCAGTCCCTGCGTGACCGCTTCTGTTCTCCACCGAACGTCACTGCTAGGGCATTCGCCCTTGTTTTATATCATCTGGCATTTCATCTGCACATTACACCCCATGCTAACTAAGGAGACATCGTCCACACAGTTCAGTGAAATTCTACCCTTTTTGTGACCGCACTAAACCTTTCCCTCACATGTGACTGTTGCAGATACATGAATGGAAACATAGACAACCACTGTTCTTGGCCAAAGAACAGATCCGAGTACCCCTTCCCTGTTCATCCAGAACCCTAGCTCACATCCTCGAACTTAAACCCAGAAGGCTCCAGTCAGCAATATCGCCAGGCTTAGGGTAAGAACAATGGCCCTAGGAACCTGAAGTTGCAGAAGTTAGTTGAGGTGTTGGAGGCGTATATACACAAGCGTTGAACCCGACCGATGAAGAGATGCTGGAGCGATGAGTGCTGGTGGGCGAAGAGTCTGGCGTCGAAACGAGTGTAGAGGCTTGGCTTGAGAGGCTGTCATTTAGGTCAGTGCCCTTCGCGCGCTTACTCGCCATTTGGATGTTTTTGGTGACAACCTTTCCCAGCTTTACAGGTGTCTGTTGTTTGATCTTGTGGCTGATGATGGCTGAATCCATCACATGTGGCACCTGTGTAGATATAGACTCGGGTGGTTGAGAACCAGTCGAAAACTTGGTGGCGTCCTGCACTTTGGCAGTAACGACCTCCTCCCTAGCGGATGCAGCAGAAAGTAGGTGTTCGAAGAAACGAGAGTCGAATCGGCGTGCTTGGGGAGCAGGATGCGAGAGGGCGACGTTCTTCTCAGTCTCAACCTGCTCCAATGGCGACAGCTCTTCCTTATGGGCAAACAATCCGTCTTGTGTGTTGAGACCACTTGTGCGGATGGTTGTCTCAAATTCATTGTCGTCGAGATACATAGTATGCGGTGCCAAATAGTCGAACTCAGCGTCCTTGTCGTGGAACTCGGTATCCATGTAAGCCTTGAAGTCGCACCGGATAAGCATCTGGCGCGGTGTCTCCATATTCTCATACAACGCAAGCTCCAAGGCTTTGCGCAGCGCAATGGTGTTCAGTGTGTCTTTTGGGGTCAAAGCAGCCTTGCTGGACGCAGCCTTGTTGGGCTCAGCGTCACCCAGTCGAACCACCTTAACGGAAGTAAAGGACAATTTCGTCGCCTTGATCTGCTCGGCGGCGGCGGTGGCGCGCTGTACGAGTTTCTTCTCTTTCTGGGCCCTCTTGTACTCCTTGAGTCCATTCATCTTCTTGTTCACAACTTCGCTACCGGTGCTCTTGAAGGCTGTCATTTTTGTAATAAGAGATGAGTTGTGACTACGAGGGATATCAGCCTTGCTGTGTATAAGCATGCTCTCACTTACGTATAGAAGAGGCTGTAGTTTTACACAATGTATAGTTGGTAGGGTGATAGAAAACAAGATTTTTGCGTCACTCTAGCGCGCTCTTTATCGTTTGCGGCGGGTTGAGAAAGTTGAATAGTTGATGGATTGGGCAAAGAGACGAAAGGAGGAGAGTAATATCAGTAATGGGAATGTGGGGCTACGGCTGAAACTACTTTACATCTGGTGAATGTTATGGATACTGTATGCGAGCGAGTGAAGTGAAAGCTCCAATCACCGGATTGCCAGAGTAGTTGTTGTAAAATGTGAAAGGCGATGACTGTCAGATCTATACTATGTATAGGTACGTGAGTGAGCTTCACGTTCATTCTACTTGATATTCTAACTACTCAGGAAGGACATCGAAAGAGCTAACAAAAGCTCTGGCCATGCCCAATGCATTCGCTGATGAACAGCCACAGCTTGATGAGGCGATTCGGGATGCAACTCCCAATGGCACTCTAGAGACCCTACATAGAGCCGATGACGTTCCTACGAATACTCCTCCTCATCAAAATCATCAAATACCCAATGCTCGAATACTTGCTGTCGCTCCTCCTCAGACTCTGCAGCTTTAAGCGCCTCGGCCTTAAACTCCTGTTCTCGCTGCTTTATCTCGTCATACAGCTCAGCAGGCACCCATCCTTCAACCCCAATATCGATGAGATCTCTACAATTCCGAAGCGATTCATCTGCATCTACTTGCGCGTCATGCAGACGCAAGCATTCGGCCACCTCGTCTTCTGAGAAGGCAATGGGACAGGGATGCCTAGTCTCGCCGTCCGTATTAGACTGAGAGGCCACGACTTTGTCCCAGTTTTTCGTCAAATCGATCAAGTCATTTTTGAGACTAACTATATCGCCCTGCCAAGGGTCACTGGCGTGAACGAAGAGTTTACGTCTCAATATGCTAAAGTTGGCGGTCAAGGCATCGTAATGCGTTGGGTTCAATGAGGCAGTCGCCACGACATAGAAGTAGTGAACTTGACGCCGATGTAAGAGCATTGTCTCCCGAAACTGTGCGTTTTCGCTTAGCTCGTCGAAATTCGGCGGTAGTTCAGGAAATGTAAGTGATTCGGAGATGCTGTCACCGTAGTTTTGAAGACTATTGGGGATACCGCATTGCAGGAAAAGTGGAAGTATTGTGCAGTGCTGCCAGTCAATCACACTTGCAATCCTGAAATCATCTGTTACAAAAATGTTATTCGGCTGAAGATCAGGATGTCTCATTGTCGGGCGGACCAGGGTACTGTTGCCGTCTGGTACGAGGTAAGGCACAGTTTGCAGGTATTTTTCCAAGTTACTCAGATGTTCAGAGGGGGATTGTGCCTGGTAACCATGGATTTCTCGGTGTAGACGTTGAAACGGGTGGAGCGGTCGACCGAATTTTGTTAGATATGCAATCTCTTTTCTGGCCCCAGCTTCAAGAGCGGCTGCTGGATCTGCGACTTTTGAGAATTCTGTCAGCACTATAGACAAAGAATGATATTATTACGGGCATATCAACAAGCTGATTCATTATATGGAAAGCCAGGACTGATACGTACATGGTCCACGGTTGGTCTGGATGTTGAGCCTTTTTCCACGCCAAAAGCTAAGACTTGTATCAGGGCCGATGCAAAAGTGACCATCGTATGCAGAATCCGCGATCGGCACCTCGACCCTCTCTAGCCCAGGTTGTATATCTTTGGTGTGATACAGACTACCACTTGCTGGAAAGGTAAGAGAGAACAATCGAGACTCTAACTCGACAAGGCTAGTGACGACAGTGATTCTGGCCTCTATCGACAGGTCAAACCAGATGTCGCCCAAGTTCTTCCCACGGGCCAGCTCCATAAACATGTATTCAGTCCCAGCTCCATTGTCTGGCGTAGTTGAGTAATCGTAGATCTTGGGTACAAGGATATCATGTAGACGGAGAAAGTTCATCGTTGCGACTTCACTGGCAACAACCAGATGCCTTGGCTGGGTAGAGAGATAAGGGATGCGTCCGACCAACTGAAACCCGTCACACATAGTGATGAGAAAGGTTCGGTTGAAGCTTCCCTCACTAAGTTTCTCAAACCGAGCCACATCTTTCGCATTCCGATTCACGGCGGCGGCAGCCAAACGCTTGAATTCGGATACATTGAAAGCACGTCTTCTTTCAGCATGCTTGAAAGAATCGTTCCATCTTCCACTTGGTTAGTTTGAGTTTGAGCCTGAAGGGGAGAATAAACGAACATCCATCGTCCCGACGTGTTCTCAAATAGTTCAGAGGACTCCATCAAAGATCCGGCTGGAGAATGAGTGAAGTGTCTGACAAGACTCCTAACCTCAATGGAGCGATGTATTCGTGGACGAGGGCGAGTGAAAGATACAAAAGCTAGACGGATCTTTGCGTTCTGAGAGAACCGTAATCCCATAGTTGAAGGAGGTGACGCAAAGATGGAGAGTGTCACCGCGGCGGATGATAGAGCACGATGATATGTGTGATGCGCTTGGACCACCCTTGGCACGCGCCAGGGTATCCAAACACCGTTCACTGGTTGGGAGGACAGTCGCGCCACAAAAGATAGTGAGAACTAGCCGAATGACGGGGTAAGCCATGGGTAAAACGATTCACTTTGAAGACTGGTCATGTGGACAACTTGTTCTATATGTCGGAACTACGTAGTGAGTCTTGGAAACCTGACCAAATTCGTTCTGTGGGATATTACAAGTAAATGTCATAAGTGTATTTAAAAGCATTGAACCTGTCACTACGTGAGACGCTCTCAGAGTTGCATAAAGTCTTGAAGGAAAGAAAGCTGTACAATGCAGATAACGTGAGGTCGTATCAGTTCAAGAGTTTGGAGCTGATGTACCGAGATCTTGTAGCCGCTCCTGCTGCTAGACTCTGATTCAACAATGGTATCATGTGTCAAAAAAACTGAATAATTGCAGTAAGAGATGCTGTCTAAATACTACACGCTGATACACTAGGGCTAGTCTCAACGGATGCAGATAATATGCTCCTTGAAGAATGCAAGCTTGCGCCGCATTACAATCAGAACCCCCTCATAAAGTGTCCTGTTTGCTATTGTTACAAGCGCCTGGAACAGAAAAAGACAAGTGAATCCTGAACTGACGAAACTTCTGCGGTAAATCAAGCGCTCGGTCCTTTCTAATAGGTCATGCGTCAGTGATAGAGGCACTTCTGGTGAAGCACGTGCCCTGGAGCGTTTGCTGTCTTTGTCACCAGATTTGATCTCTCACCGGTATGTAAGCAGCTACGTTTTGTCCTAGCCAGCCCCAAACTCGACACATCCCACTATATCACGAGTAAGAATCCAAATTTCATTGATCCCTCACAACCGGCTCCTATATAGCCTGCATCAAGTGTAAGAGGATAGCCTAGAACAAGAAAAAAACTTAAGAAATCGCTAACACTCAAACCCCAGTTTCGACAGCCACGATGAAGAAGTGTTTCGCTGCTGCAACGGCCACGATTGTCGAAAGCAATAGGTGGAAGAAGTTCACCAAAGTATCCGTTAGCAAAGGCAACGTAGACTGGCCTCAGAACATGAGAGACCAAGAGCGTTTCGGGGTGCGGTACAACTATCAAGGCAAGATTACCAACAAAGACGGCGTTGTTTACAACAAATTCCACGTACAGCCCAATGCTGGAAAGATTCCGGCTCCTATCAACCAGTGGAAGGAGGACAACGGCGGCACAAATGCGGTTATGACCAGCGTATATGTGAAGAAGGATGGTACCCAGGAAGATGTCAAGGAGGGGCTTGAGGAGGCAGCGAAATCAATCGAGAGCTAGAGGGTAGAAGATTCCTACGAGACATGCATATGCTGGATTTGTAAATTATGAACTTGTCAAGGCTCCTACAAGCCTTTTCCAGAATGGATCTCCTCTCTCACCATAACAAAGAGTGGTGCTTTTTCGAAAATCTGCATAGAACGCTTTTGCTTGATGCTTGTATATTTCCATCACCATCATTCATCACATGGCTGATCCCAAGCAAATTCTATTACAACGTAGAGGTTGCAGCACTGTTTTTTAGGAAAGAAAATATAAATCAACACGTCTAGCCAGGAACGGGACATATAGCATCTCAGACCAATCAGTAGACATGCATGGCATTCGGAACAAACTGTATCAGCTTTTGTGTAAATAACAAGACGTTCAACTACACTTAAAACTACACCGGGGTATCAAAGCGTTACCAGCAAACAGGGAAGCCACCTTTGCAAGAAGCACTTTTGAAAAACCTTATGGGATCCAAAAAACGACAGGACACAAAAGCTGGCCGAAGCTCTACCTACTACGGTAAAATCGGAATCCCAGTTACCCATTCCTCCACCGGCTCGCCACTTTCTTGACGCAAGGTCAACATCGTCGACCGAATCCATCTTGCCTTTGAGATAATCTCTGCAACACTGCGGTTACGCAGGTCGCCCCCGCGCGAATGCGAAGACCTGGGGTCACAATACGTCTTGAATATCTTCTCAAAGACGCGCGGGCCTAGACAAAATGTTAGCAAAACATCCCAATGTTCTGATACGGAATGGCAATTGCTCACCCGCACAATACTGCAAGCCCTCGAGCACAGCAGTCTCTTCGTCTTCGGTCCACTCCACTTCATCCGCAAGCTCCGAAACCTGGCTATGCGGTGGAGTAGAACGGGGTTTGAAAATCGGCAATCGTTCGAAAATGACACCGTTCGCATCTCTCTCCACCAGATCTTCAAATCTGGTGTGGAACAGCTTCCGCCGCCTGTATACATCGGGTTCGCATTGCATTCGCACGATATGAAGGTCTTGCCAGCGCTTCTTCCGTTCCTCCATTGCCTCGATAGCTCGAATTTGTTCACTCTGTGCATCGCGGCGTTCTTTCATCCTTCTTTCCATTTTCTCATATTGCTTACAACGTTCCTCTCCCTCCTGTAGTTGGCTTAGACGAACACTGAGTGATTGACTGACCCGCCGCAGGGGCGTAATAAGTCGGCTTTGGACATCCTTGACTACTCTATCACCCTTTTGACGCTGAGGTACAGTGACGTGCCATTGCCTGATTGCATCATTGAATGCTAAAATCTCCTGCATCAATGGGGCTATTACACGCAAGCTTTCCAAAGACTCTGTTGCAGACTCATATGTTTTGACTAGCCAATCGTGCAAATCTCGAAGATATAGCGTAAGAGCGCGAAAGACGAAGCTGTATGCATCACTCTTGAATGCAAGTTGATGTTTTTTTCCGATTTCAGTACTGTAATATTTAGGCGTCTGTTGTAGTGCCTCTTGTATCTTCATGGCATTTTGCGTAACAGCGTCGATTGAGTGAGTGTCATCCTGGAAATTTGCACAATACCTTTCACACACGTGTAAGATCTTTCTGGCGCGCTTAGTCTGGCATGTCCCTTCACGCTCTTCAAGGTCGAGGAAACTAAACACTGTATCAATGCTCTCAGGTAGTTGGCCCACGCGTCCAGTCTCCTCATCCTGCTCAACGTTATGCTCACTCTCCTCGTCATCTGGAGCATACTCTGGGTCTCCATCACTAGGCAGCTCTCCAGGCACTACTGAAACTTCCTGCGATATCGTTGGTCGGGATCCGCTCTTGTGTGTTCTTGTCGGGAGCTGGTGGTTTAGTTCGGTAGAGGCAATGCTACCGTCTTTTTGCGGTCTCCCCCGTTTCCTAGCTGGTGCTGGATTTGAGCTCTCTTCTTGCAAATCCCGCACTTGGTTCTTGGTCTTTTCGGAGGATGTAGGCTTACCCGCAGGTTCACTTTTTCTCCTCTGAATCTTCGTAGGTTGGTCCTCTTGATGAATCGGTGCTGACTTTCGCTTATCACGTGGCGTTGTTTCATAACCTTGTTGTTCGATACAAGTCGGGCATCGTGGGCCGTTGGCGGTTACCTTGGCAGCAGCCCTGTAGCACTGCGTGGTAACGTTGTCGGAAATGGCCATCTCTCCACAACGAACAACAGGGGGTTTACCAAGGTGAATTCCGCATCTGAAACCATCGTCGGTCTGTCCGGTACCCGGACGTAAGCATTGCCTATAAGCTGGTCCAGTAATTTTATCGTACTTGTAGAAGACTGCTGTGCATCTGGGTTTCCCATTGTCAAGGCTCTCCTCGATTCTTACATTCCCGGGTGCATTAGCATGGGAATTTGCTTTACTCGAAAGAATCTCCTCTGTTACGGTATCAATGGCAATGCTGTCGCTTCCAACGGGGGCAACTTGGGGTGGAGAAGAGCGCATGTCTGGATGGGTAGAAGCCAGATCCTCTGCCGGCCCTTCTGGGTCAACTTGCGGCCTGTCCTGATCGCGCACTGGCAGCTTAGACGGAACATCTGGTGCAACACTAAGCTTCGCGAGTGCGTGTGGCTTCTTCTTTACAATCTTGAGCGGCTTTTTGTTCACCTTCTCAGGCAGCGCGTAGTTCCCCTTTTCCGGGCTAAGCTCTATCTCATATACATCACCTCGTACAGCGAGGTTCGTCCTAGCGCTCTCGGGGATCAAGCTCGCCCGCTTGAGCTTACCGGCGCGATTCTTACGCGCCATGTCAATCACAGGGCTATTACGTCGGTGATCTATTCGTGCAGCATTGAGGAGCTCTGCGCCAATGAATACGGCGGGTGAAGGAGGTAGTGGAGGTGCGTCTGTCGCGAGAGATTCTGTGTGGAGCTGTTCGATGGCTGCTTGATCATCTGCCGCAGGATGAAAGAAGTCGGAAGCATGGGAAGAGCTGGGCTGTGGAGATGATTCAGCCGCTGCTATTCCATTATCAGCTCATACCCCATCAGAACCAAGATCTTCATTCCTATAGATGCGCTCTTGGGACAGGGTACTCCGGTTTCGCGCCGACGTCTTAACATCAACGCGTGCGCGCTGAGCCCCAGAAAGAGCTTCTCACTTACCGCTCACCCTTGGCGGCTGCTTTAGACGTGCCATTTGTAATTGCCTCAAACACACACTCCACTCTGAAGTGAAAGCGGCATCCAACGATAGTGAACAGGAAGGGTTGTAAGTACACTAGTGCGTTGAATCAGCAAGGTCAGACTCCCCTGCACTAGTGCTACGCTAGCACACCGCTAGAAAAAGCGAATTTAATAGGCTCTTATGTAACCGGTAAAACTAAAAAATAGTAGCCCCTTCTAGCAGTGCAAAACCACCTAAATTCACCTAAAAATAGCGCCAAAATAGCACCTACTTACTTATTGAGTCCTTTTTTAATTTTGTAGTTTTACGAGTTATATAAGAGATGGGGCCGACTTCGGTCAGTAATGTGGGAGTTCTGGCTTCTTGATTTGTATGTATGATAATACAATCACTATAAATGTAACAGCGCAAGCAAGACTACTCAGACCAGTATCGGCAGTAGTGTCACACAGAGGTATATGGGAGTGCGTAGGACATTAAACGAGCCTTAATTCGAATAGACACCTATAGGCCTTGTACGAAAGGATATCAGAAATCTACCTAATAAGCTATTATAGAGGTTGGGTTTATATAGTCATTTTTCCCACTAGGCCAGATCATACCCTAGTTCAGATCCTGTTCAGATGTAGGTAGCAACAGACACCAAGCCGTTACAATAAGTACCTAAATAACTATAAGCAAGCTCTACCTATAACACATGTTTACTCTCTATTTTCGCGCAAATAATCAATCTACTGTATCGACAAATATGAAGCTAATTCTTTTAAGTCTTTTGCCCGCGGTGTAGGCCTACAGATGGTGGACCAACGACGGATGAGCTAAGCCATCTAATTATAATAGTCCTGAATGCGCGTCAAACAAAAACGCATTTTATTTCTGAGTACGCCAAAAGTATAATTGTGTCTTAGAGATAAGGCGCTAATAATTTTGTAGGGTATTTTTGCTGGAACTAGACGCGAAAATCCGTATCCTGATGCCTTTCCTCCTGGGCGCGACACTTGTACCGTCGCCGACACCCAAGGTCGCGGATGTAACTGGAATGGCGCGGTTGGCATTGTAAGTTAACGTTGAAATATATTTTATAATAATTATAAACTGACGATACTCCGCAGGGTTCTTTTTGTAGGCTACTATAGTATGTATAAAGTAATCAGCTAACGTTTTACTAACTATATATCAGTGTTCAAGTAGGATATATAGACTTCTCGACTATAGGTTGAATATATTTAGTAAATACTGTGGCACGATACGTGATCGAGCTCAAAAGATCAGAGGGTTAACCCGCAATCGAGTAGATAGAATAAGCTGATAGCTAATCGCTGCAAAGGATTGATTGAAGAAGATGCCTATCTACGTACGAAAGAAGATCGCAATATATACTGCGAGCTAGTCACGTGATACTATACCACAATACTTATAGTTTACTATAGCAGAACTTATAGATACTATACTTCCTATATTCATTTACTTATTTTTAAAAATGCTTAGTTTTTAATTATAATACGCTTTTGAGGAATAGGGAGTAAAGATCTCTAGTTTGGAATTTATGGTTTTAGTTTTGGCAGTTTTAAATTCCGATCTTTGGGGGCATCATCGTTTCCCGAAAACGCCCGCACTAGCCCGCATCCCCATACAACCCCTCATCCAAAAGTTCAACCGCCATGGCATCCAACCCCTCCCAGGCCCCAGTGCTAGAAACAATCGACAAAACCTCTGGACATGAGTTTGCGCTGCCCGCAAAACGCATCCACGATGGCGACGACGTCACTGCTTTCTTGGCAAGCAGAGCATACGCCGACATCATGACTTTCATTTTCCAGCTAAACACGGCTATGATACCCCGTAAGCTTGAATCAAAAGAGTCGGGAGAAGCGGAAACAGCAAAAGAGTGGACTTTGAATGATAAAGACGTGCCCTATACACCCGTCGTACAGAGCCTTGCCAAGCTCCTGGATGCCCTAACGTCTATCATCGATGAAGCACCGCCGGACCCGGGACCCCGTCGCTTCGGAAACGTCAGCTTCAGAACATGGTACGATATTGTTCGCGAACGGGCTTCGGAGCTTCTGGATCAGCATCTTCCCCAAAATGTGCTGGATTTCAAGTCAACATCAGATGTTAGTGCGAAAAGTGAATTAGAAGCGTATTTCCTCGGCAGCTTTGGTAGTTCGCAGCGCCTCGACTACGGTACGGGACATGAGCTGAGTTTCCTCGCTTTCCTCGGCTGTCTATGGAAACTTGGTGCGTTTCCCGAGTCGCAGGATGGCGATCAAGAACGCAGCATCGTACTCGGTGTCCTAGAACCCTATCTCGTTCTCATCCGGCGTCTGATCTTGACCTACACCCTTGAACCCGCGGGATCACATGGAGTATGGGGTCTAGACGACCACTCATTCCTCCCATACATCTTCGGAAGCGCCCAGTTCTCCCCAGCTATCTCATCACCCGGCGACGTCGCGGCAGAGGGCTCCCTCCCTGCAGCCCCAAACCCAGGCGACGTCGCCAAAGCCCCAGCCGTCGAGCGCGAAAGAAAACGAAACATGTACTTCAGCGCCATCGGCTTCATCTACGACGTGAAAAAAGGTCCCTTCTGGGAACACAGCAACATCCTATACGACGTGTCCGGCGTAAAAGCCGGCTGGGCAAAAATCAACAAGGTACGTTCTAATCTACTACTCCAAGACCCAATCCCAATGCAAACGGCATAAAATGAAATCAAAAGTGAAATTAACACAGAAGAAATCAGGGAATGATCAAAATGTACAACGCAGAAGTCCTCTCCAAATTCCCCGTAGTCCAACACTTCCCCTTCGGCTCCCTCTTCTCCTTCTCCCCCGACCCCAACGCCCGCAAAATTCAAGCTACAGTCCATACAGCCTCGCAGCCCAAAGCCTCAGCCTCAGCTACCCCGCGCCCCCAACCGCCGCTGCGGGACCCCCTCGCTGACACGACGGCTATGCCATCGACAGCAAGACCGGGTGGAGCAGTGGGAACGGCCGCGCCATGGGCGAGAGCACCGGCAGCGGCGGGTCCGGGCGTCCCGAGTGGAGTCAATCAGCCTACGAAGGCGCCGTGGGCGAGTAGGACGCCTGCGCCGCCACCGACGACGATGCCGGAGGCTGGAGTTGGGACGGCGGCACCGTGGGCGAGGAAGAAGGAGGATGGTGGTAGTGCGGGGGAGGGACAGCAGGGTACGAGGGCGCCGTGGGCAGATAGACGGTGAGATTGGTAGGGATAAAGGTTATGAATTGTAGAGGTGAGTCTGGAAGACGTACTTACATGCTCCAAAAAAACCAAACAACATCGCAACAATTCATAATGTACACTTTTTTCATTTACCGCACAAGGAGAATTACATAAAAACAGTTTATCACAATTACCCGCCCGATATCCCCCTCCTTAATCCCATAACATTCATACCAGACAAACTAAGCAACATTCTCCATAAGCCCCGCACCAACCGTCCTCCCCCTCTCTCTAAGCACAACTCTCATACCCTCCTCAATCGGCAACTCCCTCTCCAACTGCACCACAATTCGTGCCACCTCACCCGGCTTCACAATCCTCGGCTTCTTCTTCATGACCTCGCCTGTGAACTTGTTCAGACGGGCACTCAACGTGCGGATACTACCAGGCGAGTTGAGGGTGCTGCGAAAAACTTCTACGGGCATGGGCAGCACGTGTTCAAAAGCCAGGAGTTTGGATGTAAATGCCTTGACGAGTTTGACTGGGTCTTTGGGGGTGCAGATAATGTCGCCCTGGCGGAGATGTACAGGGTCGATGTCTGTGAGGTGTAGTGTGGGGATTTGGCCTGCGACTGCCCAGTCTACAGGGGCGTCTTGGACTTCGATGGATTTTATAGTTGCAGTTTCGTTGGCGGGGAGCGCGAGGATTACGTCGCCTACTTGTAGTGTTCCAGAGTCGATCCGTCCGGATATGCTGAGCGGTGAGCGCATGTCGCCTTTGAATACATCGGCGACAGAAAGGCGAAGTGATTTTTGGAGGTTACGTTGTGGTATTTCGATGCGCTCTAGGGCCTCGAGTAATGTTTCGCCAGTATACCAATGAGCAGCAGAGTTTTCAATCTTCTTAACGACGTTCTCGCCTGTAAGACCCGCCAGCGGGATAAAGGTGATTCGTTTCTCCAAGAAACTTGCTTCAGTCAAGAACGCCGTCATACGTTTTGCTATCTCGTCGAACCGAGATTTAGACCATCCAATCATGTCCATCTTGTTGACAGCAATGATAATGTGTTGCATGCCCATGCTTCGTGCAATCATGATATGTTCCTTGGTTTGACCCTTGAGGCCAGACTCGAAACTGTTGGTGCTAGCGTCAATCACCAGGACGGGGAAGTCGGCCTGCGATGCCCCTGATATCATGTTTGGGATGAAGTCCTTGTGGCCAGGAGCATCTAATATCGTGAATCGTGTCTTCTCTGTCTCGAAGTAGTTTGTCGCAATATCAACTGTAACACCACGGCTTCTTTCTTCGCTTGTTTCATCCATCACCCAGGCCAATGCAAAGGACGATTTTCCGATAGTCTCGGCTTCCTTCCGTAGCTTGTCTATTGATCGCTGGTCGATGACTTTGAGGTCGTACAGCAAACGGCCCATGAGTGTACTCTTGCCGTGGTCGACATGTCCTGTACACAGTCAATGTGATTGCACAGATAGTTTGTTGTTTCTGGAGACACTTGGGCCAGGACTGAGCTTACCAACAACTACAAAATTCGCAAGTCGTTTCATGTTGCTCTTCTCAAATTCATCCACAACATTCAAGTTCTTGCTCTTAACCTTTGGCTCATCGGCAACAGAGAGCCTCTCGACAGACTCAGTAAGATCGCCATTAGTCTGCTTCTTTTTCTTCTTCGGTGTGGTTCCTGGTAGTCTTAGATATGCATATATAGAGGACACGTGACAGTCTAGTGACGCCCGCCCCCTGCGCTCTTTGCCTGTGCTGCCCGCACGATATCGTCCGGACTTGGTTCCGAGAAGACTTTTGTACCATCAAATGACTTGTAGGCAGCAAATGGCACGGGAAGCTCTTGGACTTGGAGCTGCGGCTGCTTTGACGACTTGTCGGAACCACAGAGAGTTGAAGCAAACATGGAAGCGACAGCACGCTGAGCTGGAGACTCGACGACAATGGCCGGTTGAGGGAGCTGAGGCTCTTCAATCTCGGGTTCCTTTGGTGTTTCTGGTGCTGGAGAAGGCGATCGTCTTCGAACAGGGTATTTGGATACTCGAGCTGGGCGACTTGCAGCTGCGTCATGCAAAGGGTTGACGTTTTCCTGATTCTTGACCGAAAGCTTATCGAGCATCGCAACAGCCGAGTCCGCATCGCTATTGGCTTTGGAGGCAGCAGCTTCGGCTTCTTCTCGCTCCTTCCTGCGCTTAGCCGCGAGCGCAGCTAGCTTTGAAGAGCCCCCGAGTAATCCCCCCTTGTACTCTGGGGCTTCAATGGTGATATTTGCTAGTCGCTCGGGTGGCACATTGCCCCAAGGCACATCCCAGAAGAAGTCTGTGACAGCAGCGTTGGTAGGCATCGACAGTGGGGGCAGCAGTAGGTAATGGGCAACAAGACGAGCGGGCTGGTGTCCATAGCTAGAACTTATGTGAGTTTGCTTACCTGTAGATGCGGGCGCATTCTGGTGAGCAACGCTTGCAGCCTGGTCGAACCGCGATGCTGGTTTAGCCTTTTCTTGTTTCGGAGCCTCCTTCTTGGGCTCTGCAATTCCCAATTTGTTTTTCAAGTAGCTCACACTCTTTCCCACATCGTAGTAGTAGTGCCATAGAGCTTCTTGTATTTGCTCGTCGCTTGTGAAGTCGCTCATGTCTCCCATGGCTTCACGCACCCGTATTGTGCCGACGCGCATCTGCTCTTTGTCTTCTTCCGACATGCGATCTCCCGCACCGCCATCATCGCCTTCTTCCTCGTAATAGTCGTCGTCGTAGAAGTCATCGTCATCATAATCGACGTTGCGCGTGCGCGAGAAACCGCTTTTGGGTGGCATGGCAGGCGACCTCGGCTGTTTTAGGGGTTGAGGGAGGCGTAAACAGCGAGTAAGTAAAATTTCCTATAGTTGCGATGTTGTTTGGAGTAGCCTTTTGTGCGTGGGGGCGTTGAGCTATGCGTCGGGCAGCTTTGATTATCGGCCTCTTGGTTGGCGAGAATTCATCGCGTCTCCCTTGGTTGACGTCGGTGGTGGGGCAATGTCATTGACGTATAGCGCGGCTGGAGCTGCCCCGCGCTAGGCTTCAGCCGTCAAAGATGCCGTATGTACCTTCATATTATCAATCTTAACCTTGTTGATAAGTCATACTCTAAAGCTAAAATCTCCGCCATACTTTCACTTGAGAGAGGGAATCATAGCAGGTATGAATTTCTTCATTTTAGATACTTCAGTTCGCCATAATTGGACTACGCTCAGTAGTGGTGGGGTATAGAATTAGTTGAAAAGCAAAACAAAACGTTAAAAAGAAACCCCTAACATTTGCACCATGCGCCTGCCTGCTGCAATAACATGATTTTTTTTCTTCGTTTCGTAATTTACCTGAACCTCCTCTTGGCCCGCTCCATTGCAGCCTTGCGACTACCCCATATGAAGATTTTCTATTTCTCCGCCTTGTCCTCTGGGGCAACTGGAGCAACTGGAGCGGCCGGTGTAGCAGCCGGCGCAGGCTCAAAAGTCGGGGCAGCTGGGGCAGCTGGAGGAGCAGTCGCGGTGGGCTCAGCGCTAGGAGCAGGGGCAGCATCAGCAGCTGGAGCGGGGGCAGGGGTGGGGGCAGCCGGTGCAGCGGTTTTATCGTCATGAAAATTGGGCTCATCAAACATCGGCCCGCTGGTAGCACTCATGCCAGCGGCAGGCTTACTATCAGGAAGCTCGGGGAGATCCAAGGGGGCAGCTGGTGCAGGTGCATCAGCAGGCTTAACCTCTGCATCCTTTGGTGCTTCGGTAGAGGTGGGCTGAGCTTCAGCAGCAGTGGGAGGAGCGGGCGCAACGGCGCCGACAGGCTCGGGTGCTGAAAGAAATTCGTTAGTCTAATGCATCATTGGTGACAAAGGAAATCGTTGAAAGTCGGGCGTTAAGGAAATGTGGTATCTGGGCGTAACATCGTAGTCGGGTCATCATGCTGGCGCGGCCAGTGGCCATCGTGCGGCGCGTGTCTCTTGGAGAGCTCGCTCACGCTTAGATGGGATCATTCCACTGGTTGTCCAGGGCGACTTTCATCCGTCGTCTAGACCCGTCCCAGGCATCTTGGTCTTGATAGTGTTGTGGAGTAGAGACTGAATGAGATGTTAACCTACTCTGCGTGGCTTTCTTGACCTCAGTCAATGCAGCAGCTTCGTCCTTGTTGCTTTCGCCTTGGGCCGGGGCCGCAGCTGGGGCAGCGGCAGGAGCAGTGGCAGGCTCAGCAGGCTGAGGGAGCTCAGCGGGAGCAGTCGATGTCTCCGTCTTTGCGGCCTCGGGCGCAGTGGCGGGGGCGGGAGCTGCAGGCGTCGTCTCGGTAGGCTTGGTCGCGGCATTGGATGGTGTGGCCGTCTCAGGAGCAGCAGCGGGCTGGGAATCCTCGGGCTTGGACTCATCCTTCTTGGACTTTTTGCCTTTGAAGATGCCCTTGAGGGCCTTCTTCATCTGGTCCATGGCGTCGAGCGCTGGGGCAAGGGATGCGTCAGATGGCGAGTCTTGGAGAGCAAGTGGGGTGCGTGGGGTGCGTGGGTTGGTGTGGCAATGGGGCAATCGTAGGAGGGATATATATGTGCATGAGAGCAGATGTGCGTGGTCACAATCACAGGTGACGGTGGAATAGGCGCCAGGGAGATACTGAGGGTGAATGGGGATTGTACTTACGAACCCCCGGCATGATTCAAGAACTGGTGGCTGGTGGCCAGATGGAAAGATGGAAAACAAAGGCACACGGAGATGAGCGTGTGCAGGAGACGAGCGCAAAAGTGATGCAGTGAATAGTAGCAGAACAAAGGTAGACAATGTTCACGAAGGATGTGGAGAGATGACGGAGGCAGATGGATGGGTCGAGGGGAGCTTCGCCCTAGCCATCGGTTGCAGCTACTGGCTGGATGGACCCTTGGGGCTAGGCGAAACAGTCTCCACCTCCGCACCTTGTCATGCACGCCAGCCCTCTCCCCCCAGCATAGCGCCCTTTGCTGACATGCCATTATCAACTGGGGTTTCATACTATCTATCTGCCGCGTGCTTATGCATCTGTACTTAACGCGTGGATGCTCTTGACGGTCCTGCTTCTCGCGGTCTTTGCTGTCTTGGCCCAGCTCGCTCACGATGCTGCAATGTGACATCTCTGCCGTGCCGCCGGCTGCACATTTCCATGCACGCCGAATCCGGCTAGCGCTTATCAGTTTGGGGGCTGTTTACCCAACGACAACTCGCATGTTTGTCTGCTCAGCCTCTATCTGTGACACTACCTACACACCATGGATAGCAGCAATTCGACTGCAGCGCACGGCGGGAGCTCACTCGCCCTCGCTGCTCTCCAGACCAGTCTCCTTGTCCGGGCTTTCTTCACCATCTTGGCCATCTGTGTTTGCACCAGAGTTATCTCGTCGTACCGCTACAGATCTATCAAGTACAGCCAGGGGCGCAATGTAGCCCCTCCTACGATTCCGTATTGGATTCCCGGTCTACGACATGCTCTGTCACTGGCATTGGATAACAAGCACTTCATGGCCAGATGCTTGTAAGTTATTCAAAAAAATCATACATCTGTCCAGAGGACGACAAAGCACGTAACATGGCCAGACCGTGATTGCATACTCAATATACGCAATTGATACTGAAACCCCTCCAGCACTAAATATGGCGATGGAACTCCCTTCTTTCTCGATGGTGCTGGCGAAAAGATGCTATTTGTGCGGGACCCAGAACACGTCAAGACTGTGCTCATGTCGGCACAGCATTTCGACCCCAACCCTTTCGTCCATGACAAGATTCTGGGAGCACTAATGGGCAGCCCGCAAAAAACTATCGATTACTACAATAGTCCAGGAGTCAACACGGATTACATTCAGATCACGCATATTCGCCAGCACACCACTGGCTCCGGCCTCAGCTTGCTTGACAAACAAATGTTTGACTTCATGAAGCAAAGCGTACAACAAGCCTTGGAAGCTACGCCCGGAAATGAATGGAAGCATGTTCCGGATCTCTTCGATTTCATCACGTGCCATGTGACTCACGCCATTCTTGTCTCGATCCTCGGCTCTTCCCTGGTCGAAGGATACCCACAGCTCGTCGACGATCTCTGGAAACTTATCGAGGCAACCCCGGAGTTCTTCATGGGTCTCCCCCGCTTCGCCATGCCCAAGTCTTACGCTGCACGTGACCGGCTACTCGACAAACTCCGCGAATATTCCAGCAAATCCGAAGAGGTGAGAAAAAGCAATCAAGCCGATACAAAATGGGATCCTGTAGCAGGGTCTGGTCTACTCCAAGAGCGAGAGAAGATGTACAGCGAGTTGCCCGATCATGACGTACAAGCCCGAGCATCCCAAACCCTTGGACTTATGTACGGCGCAACCAGTCTTGTCGTGCCCATAACATTCTGGTACTTGTTCGAGATCCTGCGGGACCCCAAGATGCACGCATACGTTAGTTCGGAAATCCAAGCCCATGCCACGCCCGAGTCGGGAACGTACAATCTCATGCAGCTTGCCACACGCCCTTTGATACAGTCACTGCATGCCGAAACGACACGTCTTTACAGTTCCAATCTGGCGGTACGTCAAGTCACATCGCCAGTGTTCAATCTAGACGACAAATACACTGTTACCAAGGGCACTGATATCTTCATCTCAAACAAATTTAATGGACAGTTTTCTGCAGCATGGGCTGAGGCGCGTCCCAATGCTCTTGAACGCCCGCTAGATGTCTTTTGGGCAGAGCGCTTCCTTGTGGAAGGCAAGGGTCGAGACAAGAAGGAAACTTTCAGCGATGCAGGTCTGTCTGGCAACTGGACGAGCTATGGTGGTGGTGAACATAAATGTCCTGGACGCCACTTTGCCCGCCACATTGGCCTCACCACACTGGCTATTTTGATGGGCGAATACGAAATCGAGATGGTAGACAAAGAGGCTGCAAGCAAGACGGTTCCACCAATTAATAAGGCGGCTTGGGGCACCATGAAGCCAACAGGCAAGGTTGGAGTGAGGATTAGAAAACGCAAGGCCTGAAAAACGAACATCCAAGGCTGTATATGTTGATGGAATATTCCTAGACGACTGCTTACAACAAGGCTTAATCACTGTCCTTAATAATCAAAGTCTTCAAAAACCACCTTCTTCCCCTCCAACCACCCCAACACCTCTTTCCTCATCCCCTTCCCAACACACAAATACCACACATCTGCCTCCACACACTCCAAATCACTCTTCCCCACCCTCCTCTTTTCCACAACCGCATCCCCAAAATCCACCTCTCCCCCCTCCCCCTTCCCCGTCAAAAACACCCTCGTACACCCCGCAAGCCCCGGATACCTCGCAAACGTATCCACCACAAACCCGACATCCTCCCCTCTCACAGCCCAAAACAAGCGAAACCTCTCAGGCGAAAGCTCCAGCTGATGCACCTGCCCCAACAACGGTGTAACCCCCACTCCCGCAGCTACAAACGGCACAATCGCACCCTGTGGCTCCGCTTGCTTCACGACAAAGTCTCCCCCTCCAACCCCCAAAATGGGGACTTCCAGCCGCGCCCGCTCATTGGTCTGGAACAGAAACTTCGTTACAGGTCCGACTTTCCGGATCGTAATGTCGAATTCGCCAGCTGCACCGGAAGATGGAGGGGTAGAAGAAATCGTAAATGTCCGCACGAAATCATCGTTCAGACTCGTCGGATCGTCATCGCGCATATGCTCGTATCCCGTATCTAGCTCTTCTTTGAAGTCCAGTGCTATCCACTGCGCAGGAGTGTACGCGAAGTCGGTGTCTGGCACGGAGAAAGTGAAGCGCGCGATGTTGGGTGTAAGCAGGGTTTTCTTGATTAGCTGCGCGGTTTGAGCACGGGATGAAGCGAGGTTGGATTTCAGGTTTCCCTCGCAAAATAAAGGGCGGACGCGCGGGTTGTATGGGCTTTGTGTCTTTTGTGTGCCGCGGAAGGGTAAGCCTTCAGTTACAAAACGTGAGTCTTGAATTGTAATTTTGACGGCGAGATTGCTGCCTGGAAGGATATCCGCTGCGTCTTTCCCCGCAAGTATGTGCGCACTGCCGGTTATGTAGAGGATATCTCCTGTGGCGTAGTTTGGGAATGCGAGACCGATCTTGGGATTGAGTTGCAGGTTGCCGAGGGATTGGTAGAGGCGGTTGCCCGAGTACTCTGGGTACACGATTTCCGTGGGAGAAATGATGCGGACGAAGCCGGGGGGACCGCCGCGGTGGTTAACGTCCATGTCGTCTGGGGTACTGCTGCTGAGGAAGAACATGTCGGACGCTGATATCAGGGCTTGTCCCTCATCGGATAACGAGGCACCTTCCGCAACTAACTTTGGCGAAACAAGTACAGGATGGATCTCGTATTGGTTGATGTATTTGGGACAATTGCCTAGACTCTGCTCGATCATCGTGACAACTTGGATCATATACCGTGACTCTGCCGTAGCACCATCGCTCTCAGCTCTGCCTTCGATCTCGCGTACCATGCAGCCGACAAGGCGGCCGGCCGTCTTGACTCTCTTCCTTGTCATGAGATCGATGGCTAGTCCAGCAACGAGCTTTGCGTCTTCTCTTTCTCGTGGCTTTTCGAACCCTTTGCTGCCTGCGACCAGCGCTTGCACGACGGGATCGTGTTTGCCGTCTACAAGCGTAGATGTACCTACGGCACCACCGCCGATTGTCTCGGTGAACCCAGGGGATCCGCCCCAGAGTGTGACCCACGGTCTGGCTTGGGCATCCAAAGTGCCAAATGCGAGCAGAGGAGCGCGCTGGAACATGGCTGATGCTTGGGCTGTGAGATGCGTCGATGTGGGGTTGTCCTGTGGTGGCACACGCAGGAGATGGTGCATCTTTTCTTCGCCTTCATTCCATTCCATTCCCATTGAGAAATCCATTTTGTCGATATCTCTACGATGATCTCTTGTCGTTGGTGGTTTTGATCTTAACGATGGTTCTTGCCTTGATTGAAGTTTTGACTTTTACGGCACCTGGTCAAATGGATGAAGATATATCATTCTTAAGCTGACGCTCACACCCCTCACGTTGGACTGAAGCAATGTATGCTTACTAAGTTCTACCGGTATTTATAAACAAGTGTGCCGATGATTCGACGTCTTCTCCGCACGCCGTACTGATGGCGCCTGGGGAACTTGCCGTCGTCGGCACTGACGAACATGCCGCTTGCCACGCATGGCGGGGCTACGTGTGTAGTGGTATCAAGGTCGGCCCTAATCATGCAATGCAAGAGCTGACAAAGACAGCTCAGCGTATCAAAGCCCAGGAAATGCTAGAACTGCATTACGTGGTAAATCACGTATGCTGTCTTCTTTCAACACACATCAAAAGAAATATCCGAATGCAAAGAAAATTACTTGATTAAACAGGCTATCCAGGAATATGTTGAACGCTATGTAACTAGTACTTGTATTCAGCAACAATCATCTCCGCCGCTCGTTCAGCAATTCCATATACCAGTGTCTGAATATGCGCACTGGGCAATAGAGGAATAACACTCGCATCTACAACCCTCAGACCCTTTGTGCCATATACCCTCAGCTTCGCGTTTACTACACCCCCATCCTTCTCCGGAAGCAGCGCAGCAGTACCAACCGGGTGATAAATACTCAGCGTATTTTCCTTTGCAAAACTCTCCCAATCAGCATCTGTCTGTACAGAACTACCAGGTTCGTATTCCTGAGTCCACACCTCGTTCATTGGGGCCGAGGAAGCGATTTTGCGCATGAACTTTGCGAGACTGGTGATGGCCTGGAGGTCGTAAGGGTGCGAGAGGTAGTTTGGGTTGATGAGCGGTTTATCGCTGATGTTTTGCGAGGTGATGTGGACGTTGCCTTTGCTCAGGGGATGCTGGACTGCGCCGATGAGGGAGAAAGTGCCGATGCCGAATTGGGACGAGTTGGCTGCGGGGTAGCCCTTGCGGCCAGTGTAACCGTCTGAGAAGATGACTTCGAGTTGGGGGACTTTGTTGTTGAGAGATGGGGACGAGTAGCTTTTCTTTAGCTTGTCAGTGGCTGAGGTTAGGGTTGTGTCGTTGTCGACTAGGGCTTGGAGTTTTGAGGCTGTGGCGTTAGAAATCAGATTCCAGGGGAAGTAGGCGTATCCACTGCCGGTGTAGTCATAGAGTGAGCGCTCTCCGGCGTTGTATAGGGCTAACTCGGCAGCCGCACGTGTGGCATTTCTCAGAACGTCGAATGAAGTGTATTCTGGTTTGAGTTGGAATGCCAGCTGGATGCGGATGTGGTCCTGGAGATTTTCACCAACAGAAGGTAGGTGCTTGACCACTTGAATTCCAAGTTTCTCTAGGAGGGCCGAGTCCCCGATGCCTGAGTGCTCAAGAAGACCAGGTGTTTGGAAGGATCCAGCAGACAAAATCACTTCTCGCCGCGCGCTGATGATAGTGCCATCTTCTAGGGTAACACCAGTGGCGGTTTTCCCTTTGAAGTTGGCTTTTGCGACTCGGGTATCTAGCTTCAATTCGAGGTTCTGTCCAGCGAGCTGGAGATACTCTGGTGCGTAAGAACGGGTGTAGTTTGGCCTAATGTTGCTTGGTTGGGTCGCAACACCAACAGGATGGCCATTGAGGGATTCTCGATTGGGAGCCAGACCCAGATTGTTCATAGTCGGGATCCAGGTGCCTTGCTGGCGAGGAATGATTCTGTTGATAAGAGTTCGAATAGGACCAGTCTTGCCAACACCATCGGAGCCATATTCGGGAGATGGCAAAAACGTTTCGACCTTTAACATGGCTGCATACAAATTCTTCCAGTTCCAGCCAACGTTGCCGAGTTTCTCCCAAGCATTTAGCTCGTACTCCGAAGTGCGGTCCCATGTCATGAGGTTGAGCGCCGAACTTCCACCAAGCACTTTTCCGCGATTCTGGGTAAAGACGCGATTGTTCGCATTCGGCTGTGGTATCGTGGTAAAGTTCCAGTCATATTTCCCGCCGAGCGTCGAGCCTTTTCTTCCTGGAATGAAGATCCCCGGGTCTTGACGGCCATCGGGCCCTGCTTCTATGACCAATACCTTGATGTCTGGGAGGCCATTGCTTATGCGCGATGCAACAGCGAGACCTGCAGTACCACCACCTACGATAATCTAGGCTGCTTGTTAGGAAACAGATGTTGGCAAGCTCGAGGTGACAGCTGGACAAAAGACTTACAAAATCGTAAGAGCTGGAATTCCCAGACACACTCTCTGCGCGCTTTACTGTGGCTGCATCAGTCTGTTCCACCAGGCCATACACAGCCAATGCCAATCCTAGGAGCTTCATCTTCCTGTTAGACGTGGAATGAAGGCACTCCAGAGCAGAACACTCAGGGTGCAGGTGGGCGGAGCAAGGGTATTATAATAGTCTCCGTTAGGCGTCCAGTTTATCCTCCGCATCAATGAGGCCGAAGACATGCATGTCCAGCGAGGTCCAGCTTGTCAACCCGAAAACGATGTAGTTGAACAGGGGCAGCTAAGCCTAGATCCTCTTTGTCGCATTTATCCGATGCATAGACGACGCCTCGTTGACAGGGTATTTGCCTACAAGATACCATCGGTTTTTTTTCTCGGGTGCCTGCGCCTAGTTGCATGGTCCCGCAGTCCGGGAGCATGCAAAAGTTGCACAACACGGCATTCGAATTGCGTGGATGCCTGGCTGCACTAGTCTTCAGCTGAACGCCTCCTGCTCGCTTGTGCAAAGGCGACTATCGTCGTTCTGGGCGAATGTGGGACTTCAGCTTGGCAGCATAACAAACACATTCGGCGTTGCCCCGAATTATCAAGAATCCTTCGTCTTTTCGATGAATACCTGTAGGGTTAATTTCCCCGGTGGATCCGCAATACACGGAGTCGGTACTTAGGGATAGGGTGAGGTCTTACGCTCACTTAGTCTAAGTAAGTGAATGTTATCACAATATCTGCATGAACTACCGTCGCTTCCTGCACTGCTATCCTGAATGGCAAGCCTTAGTGTGACGACACACCACGTGACTCTGAGCCCCGCGATGATTATTATTCTGACGTGGACGTCCCTGGGCCTCCAGCCTTCTTGTCCCCTGTAAAAGTGAGGATTCTCATTATTGTTTGCAACACATGGCTCTCTGTACCGTCTGCCAAAACTTCCCTTTCGTTGACATCCTCCAGAAACCAGAACCCGATCTCAGCCACATTGTGACATACCGGAGTCAGAACAAAAACAGTATCCCGCACCATACAACGCTGGAGGCTCTGTCTCAGGCTGCGAAAGAGGGCTGTCCGCTTTGCTCGCTCGTGTTCGAGGACCTTCGCTCCCAGGATGATCCTCACTTCCCACTAGTGGTCTACGCTATCGAAAGAAAGCGGCAAGATCTTGACGCGGACGGGAGTCCAGCGGTTGGTACGCCAGGGATTGAGTTCGCGGAGACATATCATTGGAAGCCGGACCGATCACACTGGACACTGCCGTTCTACGTTGTTCCGGTCGTGGGATCTCCAGGTCCACTTATAACTCACAGTGTGCCATGGCCAACGGTTGAAGACGCGGCTAAAGAGTGGCTGCGCTTTTGTGGTGAAAAGCATCCGCGATGTTCACCGCTTGGGGACCGGCCGCTCCCAACACGTGTGATTGATGTAGGTGGCAAAGACTCCTCGCGGGTGCGTCTTGTTGTATCACACGGACGCTTTGACCGCTACATCGCGCTGAGCCACTGCTGGGGCCTCCGCGAGCCCATCACTACTACCAAAGACAACTTCGATAGGCATGTTAAGGAGGGAATAGAGATTGACGACTTGCCACAGACATTTCGCGACGCAGTCGAAGTGGTGCGGGCACTCGGTTTTCAGTATCTATGGATTGACAGCCTATGTATTGTTCAGCAGGATTGCGAGGACTGGCAAAGAGAAGCCGCGCAGATGCCGGAGGTCTATGCGAACGCTGCAGTAACAATCACGTCGTGCGTGAAAGACGCCTTTGCCGGGTTCCTAAAAGAGTCGACCTGGACTCCGCACGCTGCAATCTGTCAATTCAATGTCCAGTGGAACAATGCCGATTCCCCGACGACGATTGCGATTTATGAGCAATCCAAGGAAAAAGCATGGCACGAACACTTCTACCCCGGAGATGGCTGGCCCTGGAACTCAAGAGCCTGGACGCTCCAAGAACGTCTCTTGTCTGCGCGGATACTGTATTTCGCCAACGGTAAGCTCTTCTATGAGTGCAACACGGCGCGGTTCTCACGCTCCTGCTCTTCTCCGTTGCCACTTGAATCTTTGCACAAGGACTCCGCCATCGTTACGAAGACCGCGTTGCAGGAGCTTGACGTCCATACGCTTATGGGCATGTGGTACCGCATTGTCGCCGATTATAGCCGCCGAAACCTGACCAAGGGACAAGACCGTTTCGCTGCGATATCAGGCGTCGCGCGCATGATTGCAGAGAGAGTGAGAAGCGAGTACTACGCTGGGCTGTGGGCGTCGGAATTTGTCTACGGGCTCCTGTGGAAGTCGTCGTGTCCAATCAAGGAAATACTCAAGTGGAGAACTGAATACGACTATAGCCCTGTCAGTCAGTACGCAGCCGAATACCCCGGGCCGTCTTGGTCATGGGCAGCGTGCGATCATGGAGTGGTTTATCCTGACGACGCGCCGCGTGATTCGTGTATGGCGTGGTCTCAATGGGCCGGCAGTGTCGAAAAGATCGAACCTGGTGTGTTAGCTGTGTGCTACGAGCTGCTGAGCACAGATATCAAGCCGCTAAATGACGCCTTTGGTTCCATCAAAGAAGGCGCCTTAACTATAGTCAGCGCTGTACGACCGGTCAAAATTGAGTGGCCGTGGGGTTCCGAACAGGTTTATTATCTCACTGATTCCGCGAAGTCAGAGAGTTTAGGGCAGTACACCACTGACGGCCGAGGTTCAACCGACAAGGCAGAAATAGTTGGTGTGCCGGTTGCTGTTTGGCGGACATGCCCGCGTGACAGAGATGACGAAAAGAAAACGGAAGACGAAGGAGTGGACAATGAGAACGGTGTAGACGACAATGATGTTGGACGCAGTGCACGCAATGACTTGGAGCTCCATTTTTTCGTATGGGTCCTACAGCGAGACGATTCTAACAAGGATACGTATCGTAGGGTAGGATCCATTGAGGGATGGAGTCTAAAAGATCTCCAGTGGCTGCTAAGTGGAGTAAAAGAGCGTATAGTAGTGCTATAATCTTTTGTCGCAGTATCAATGGATGGACTGATTATCGATCAGTGCGTATTGGATCACGTGATCCGTCCGATCCTCTGACGATCTGATAAAGATCAGATGGTGGGAATGATGGATCAGACGAACGAAGGATCAGATTGTTGAATAGAGTTAGACTTGGATTAATAAGTATACAGTCTGACTGATTCGTTAATCTAGATCAGTAGATTGATCGGTCCATCATCTCAATATATTCCCCTGTGTTCAGAGTTTCTCAGCTCCCACATCTTAGCATTCTCTGTCTTAACTTACCTCTAGTAATAGTATACATTGAATAGGTAATTTTAGGATGCGTATATATATGCTAAAGAGGTATAATTCATTCACATTATATGAAAGAGGTACAGCACAAAACTTTTGGTTACCCACCTTGCCTGTACTAAGTTGAATATATATTAGGCCTCTAGTGTCGCAGGTTCAGGCTCTCGCCACACATTCTTGCGACCCCATCTCAGTCTGATTGTTTCGCCAAAAGGCAGACTTACTATGGATCTCCAGTCAAAAAGATCTATCGATGCTAGAGCCATGTACGTCAAAGAAGTGTCGCCGACGCTAATATATCTGCCAGCAGACTGATCCTGAGGAATCGTCTCCAATACCGACCGGTAGGTTTCGGCGTCATCGAACTGTTGCAGTCCCTGGAGGATACGTACAAGCATGCAGATAGCCATGATGTAATTGGGATGTCGTGGTTCAAATGCTTTCAAAAAACAATCGGATGCATCGAGAAATGCAGAACGTGCCTTGAGAAGGCCCTCGCTCTGTGCTGTTGATGCATAATACATGCCACAGTGGAAGTTTGCAGTTCCTACGCATGGATGCTCGGCTCCGAGTGTTACTTTGTACAGCTTAAGAACTTCGAGCATTGCAGTCTCTACGTCAACATGGTTGCTTTGCGAAAATTTCGTGCGAGCGATGTTCATGGCGACGGTGACAGTGCATCGGTGTCTTGGTCCGAGCAATGAAGTGGAATCAGCCAAAGCTTCCAGGAAGAACGGCAGTGGATCTTTGGAGGGCAAAAGCCATGAGATTCGTCCGAGATTGTTTAGCACCATCAATATATGTGGATGTCGTGCTGGAAGAAGCTTCCTAAAGCCATCAAGGCATCGAACGTAGAGATCCCATGATTCTTGATATTGTCCCGCGGCATGTAGGTACTCAGCCCGATTGTTCGCTGCCACAAGAGTAAACGGGTCGTCACGTCCAAGTAACGCCTCGTTTTGTGACCATGCCAGTGCGCTGAAATAATCGGCTTGAAAAAGATTGCTGGCTTTATGATGGAAGATACTAAGGGCATCCAAGACCCGGAAGGTCAACGGATGTTGTGCTGACTTTGCGTTCATCTTTTTCAACGCGAGCGCCAGAAATCCTTGCGATTTATCCAAGGCTCCCTTCTCGAGTAAAATCTCTCCTAGGTCGTAGTATGCCACGGCGGTGTGAAAATTATCTTCGCCAAAGAGATTTATGAATGCCCCAAGAGCATCCCGCATAGCAGTTTCGGCGTCTGCAAAGCGCCCCTGTTGACGATATAGACATGCGACGTTGCTACGTACTCTGAGAGTCAACATATCATCAACACCACAAAGCTTGGTGTATGCTGCTAGCGCACGTTGGTATAATGGTTCGGCTTCGTCAAGCCGTCCTGACTGATCAACAGCGACTGCAAGATTTCCGAGAGTCTTCAGTGTGCCGAAGTCTTCAGGTCCAAAGGCATCCTCGGATCGTTGGAGAGTTTCACGATAAAGCGCTTCGGCCTCAGCGACTCGGCCTTGATTTGCGAAGCACAAAGCAAGATTGTGAGCAGCGGCAAGGGTAATGGGATCCATGGTACCAAGCCGTTGTTTGAAGCCCTTATAAGTGCTGGCAAACATCGTCTCACCTTCCTTCAAACGACCCTGTCTCTCGATGCAGGCTGCGAGTTTGTTCATGGTGTCCAGAACCTCGACGGAGTCTTCCTCAAATATTTGGCGTCTCATATCACGCGCCGCAACGTAAGTCTTCTCGGCATCATCCAGGTCACTAGCCTCGTGGTATGTCAAAGCCATATTGTGTAGAAGTGAAGCCACTCGATAGTGAATGTTACCAAGGTTGCGTTGGTATTCCGGCATAGCCATCTTGAACCAATCAATTGCTTCTGGATACTTGCCGCGATTACGCATGCATTGCGCACAAATGACCATAAGTGGAACGTAATCCCATTTGGTGATGCTTGTTTTGCGAGCTTGTTCAATCAGTTTAACGGACTGATAGAGATATGCATCCACAATCAAACGTTCTTTGAGTGTATTGTCTTTCTTTGGAAACGAGTGATAGAGCACCTGAGTTGCCAAACGCAGGAAGTGAGTACGATCACTGTCTGGAATACTTTGACCAATCGAGCGACGAGTGAGGTCATGCATCCAAAGAACATTTTTCTCGCTTAGCCTTCGCACCAGACTAAAGTCGACAAGTTTTGCGATAGCCTTGTACAGTCGTTCGCTATCTTTGATAACTTTTACTGTTTCGCTCATATTGGAAGGTGTATCTTGCAGGGAAAGTAACCGATCTTTTGACTTTCGAGTCCGTGGCGATATACAGCAGGCGACCCGGGCAATGAATTCGAGAAAATTTGGCTGATCTGTGGCACTCGGAGCTATTTGAGGCTGCTTAGCTGTGTCCTGCTCCCTGTACCAGTGATCAAAGACAGGAATGGCCTCGGGTTGCAGGACTGAGAACAAACAAAGCAGATTAGCCGCATCTTTGTGATTCTCTCGAAGATGCTGGAGAATCATAACGAAGTGTTTGGAGATAGGTTCTCGTTGTTTTGAGTAGCTGTCATGCCATCCAAGTACCTGATAAGGTCAGCTAGTGGATGTTAGTGTGTGCACATAACCTACCTTATCTGGGGCTTTGGAGTATCGATCCAAGTAACTCTCTAGATCGATCCCATTTTCTTTTATGTAGGAAGCACACTGCTTCATAGCATGTGGAAGATAGCCAACATCTTTGACGATCACTTGTGCCAATCTTTGATTCGCTGCTGTCGCCTTCATGCCACACCCTTCGAAGAATATGTCCACGCAATCGTCAACTGATGGCTCCGTAATCTCCAAGCACATTGTTTGACGCCCTGTGATAGAGACCATGGCGCCAGGGTGTTGAGAAGTAAGAATCACATGCCCTTCGGAAATTGAGGAGAGCAGATCGCGAATAGTGTCATACTCCAAATCACCGACGTTATCGATCAGGAGTAACCAATTCGTGTTCATCTTCAGCCATTGTCGCAAAGCATTCAGGTTGACAGCTGGGCTAGAGCCCACCCGTCCAGGGAGCTCCAAAATTTCAACTAGTTGATTTACGCTTTCCATAAGCTTCTCTTGACTGCCAGATGTGAGGAAGATGCTCGATGTATATTCTGAATGGAAGCGCTCCTCATATTTAAGCATCTAGTACGGGTTTAGCAAATGGCATCCCAATCTCAGGATCAGGCTTTCCTTTTACCAGCTGTGTCTTACCGATTCCTGTCATGCCGTAAAGACCGATCCTTCTGCGCTCAAAATGAACGGCAGATGTCAACTTATGGCGCATCCATTGCAATTCTTGATCCCTCCCTTTGAACTCAGCAGTCAATAGTCCCGGGACATTTGACCAGAACTTCGAATCTTGGCCCGGCGCACTAGTGTTGTGTTGACGCTTCATGTCAATCACTGCCTTTCGCGTTTCTACCAAAGCGGTAAGTAGTAGTTTTGATTTCAAAGGTGGGGCACCTACCTTCTACCCCAATAAAAATCATACTTATTGCTGTCCGCTCGAGATGCTTTGCTTGAACGTCGATAACAGCGATACACTGTTCAAGTTCATGCCGCCGGCTGCCTGATATCGTGTCCTGGACGAAAGATTCTGCTGACATCAGATCATCGTCAAACAGCTGGAATCCTTGCTTACTGTACGATGGTTCTACAGCATATCGATACGCGAGTATGCAGAAGTAGAGGTATCCTTCGTATATCCTGACAAGATGGAGGCACAAGGGATTGTTGGCTTTGTGCACGAGCGCGGAACCGATATGTTCGTAGGACGGCAAGCACTCAGCCAGTCGTTCTAGTGTATTGTTGATGAGTTCCGGAATTTCTTTTAGGTCTTGCACCACCTGGCGTGCGTCATCAGTGCATGCAACGATAGTCACATTGGCACATTACAGACAAACGACTGACCGTGAGAATGATTTTGAGGGCACCCCAGATCAAACAGGCAGGTTCTGCAACCTGCGCAAATGTGTCGAGCGCTGATTTGAACCGTTCTAATGGCGCAAACAACTGGTGAATAAGTTGGACAAATCTCTGGATAGTTGAGTGCTTATCCTTCTGCCCCGCACTTGCGATGTTAAGTGCATCCATAGCCCTCGATTTCGTGCATAGCGCATGAGCCACACAAAATTGAGAAAATTCATCCTGTGATATGGACGACCCTACTTTTCGTTGCAGTCGATCAATCGCCATGGCGTAAATATCTTGTGTCATTGTCCCGATCTGACTGGTCCCAGGAATTGTGGATGCGGGGGGACGCTTCATTGCACACTTGTTGGTAAAAAAGCAAAACACACCATATCTCGAAGACAGTCCGCGACGGATGAACCTGCCATGTTGACTGCTTTATCATTTCCAGCGGGGCGCTGTGGATGCACCATAGTTGACTGAGATATGCAGGTAAGACACGATTAGGGAGGATTCTCATGGAGGGGTGGGTGATATGCATCAGGCTGGAGAGCACGTCACGCCTGCACAGCTGGGCTGCGGACGGGATCACCTGCAACATCATTCAATGAGCCTCCTATTACATTCCATAGCCTTCACTGAACGCTGCACGGAAAGATTTGTTCGAGATAGATATTCAACATGACCTCTGGGTTAGTAGCCCCAGAAATCCTGCCTGGTTACGAGGCTAGCATGACTTTCCTAGATTCCGACCCTCAACTAGGTGCAAGCGAGCATGCATCTCTGCGTGGCATACGGCGCCCCTGGATGGATTATTGGCCGCCCTCTCCTGGTGATACCTTGCACGACTGGCTCAAGGCTGAATGTCCTGCAGTCCTGAGCTGGCGATGGAATCCAGATAAACCTTTCGACCGACCTTGGCAGAAGTGGTCACAGGAAGCCCGCAAATCGGGCAAATCACGACCTTCCATAGTGATGCCAGCACATACAGCCACTGCGGCTCCGTCTGAGGTGAACGAACTCGGCCTCATTCCAGATGAGATAGGTGACCGGAAAGTCGCAAAGGATGTCTCAGCACTGGATCAGCAGATCCAGGAGTGGGCACTGAGCACCGTAAAGCCAAAGGCTTTCAACTACTTGGCTCTGGATCGTCTTCACCAGACTGAAAAGCCTTATCATAGCCGACTTCCCTTCCTGGAAGGTCTTCCGCGTACAAACATCGTTGGCCAGTCATTTGACACTGTTCGAATTCACGACATTACAGGGGTCGAGGAGCATTTTGTTCTTGCAGTGTCTGGCTTTGAATTTTGTCAAATTCCCCCAGCGATACATACGTGGAATGAGCAGACGGTCCGTGACCAGTATCTGCCATCGATGGGGGCGTGGTTGAGGGAAAAGTTCAACAGCAAGAAGGTATACATATATACCTACAACGTCAGTCCCACAATCCTTTATCGTATGCAACCATTACTAAACAATCGAAGTTCCGAAGCCTTGATCCAGAAAGGAAGCCCTCTGAAGCTTGGATTCCACCTTTTACCCGTGCTCACTGTGGTATGTTTTGATGAGCTCTTCATGCACGAGAAGTACTAACTTACTTCTCATATTGCAGATGTCACACCCAAATCAGGCAAAAGCAGACTAAAACTTCATTTGCCCGGAGAAGCAGATGAGTTTCTGAAGGGACGGTACCGAATGATCGGGTAAGTGATCGTATGCACAATCCTACATCACTCTCCAACGCCCTCTAATGGTGTATCCAACAGTATGTGGCGCGCGCTGTCAGGTCCGTATCAGGACAATACTCTTGCAGTCTGCGACTCGCGTACTGTCGCGATCAAAGATCTAGTTCCCGCTGACATACTGTTTCCTCATTACTGTGACGAGGGCTACGAGGTCACTCATAACGTCAATCACCGATGGTTCTACAAGAGGAACATGGGGATCGATGATGTAATAGTTTTCAAACATTACGATAGCATTGATACAGAGGCTTCTTGTAGGTTTATCAGAGTTTATGTTGACGGAAGGCTGACGTAACAAATAGTCTGTCCGCACGCTGCCTTTGTCGACCACACCGTTCCGCCCAATACCCCTCCTCGTGCCAGTATTGAGTTGAGAGCTATTGTCATTGACTAGAGGTTGAAATTTACCATAGAACTATCGCTGTTTCAGTAGAGATGATCTGTCTTTAACCTCCGTCTAGTCTTTGAGCACAGGTGGATCGAAAACAGCACATTTAAATCAGAGACAATCAAAGTTGGTGTTGGTGAGTAGCAATCACAAAGTCCTGCAATAAATTAAAAATCCGTAGCTGTGAGATCATTTGAATGGGTATCATGAGTAGACATGCTATCGATATCAAAGGATATACTATGAGTCAGGAAATACGCACCAAACAGACTAGCCCATCATGAGGCTACAAGCCATATGAATGATCTACAGCATCAAAGTCTATCCGGCTCCATGGGCCATTCTGAATCCTCTGGAGTATCAGAAAGCCCAGCCCGAAAAATTTTGTTCCACTGGAGCTGCAGAGCGGGATGAGGCGGCGGTCCTGCCATGGATTCGTCTTTGAGCCAAAGTCTCAACATGTGTCGAGTTTTACCCTCGCCATCGTGAAACTCATCGCGGCCGTGTATGATCTTTCGGTTGTTGAAGAACAACATATCTCCTGTCTCGTAGTTGATACGGTGCAAGCTCTGGTGAGCTGCATAGTGTACGGCGTCTAGTGCGTCGTTTTGAAGCATGGTGATATTCGGGATCTCCAAGGACCTTGTCCCACGTGGAGAACGTATGAGTGCGCCTCGGCTGAAGGCCATCTCTGGTGCACCTTCGTGCATGAACATGATGGGACGACGGTAGTAGAGGCCGTTTCCATCCAGTCCTTTCTTGTCCGGTGGACTAGAACAAGTTAGCAGCAGACGATAAAGCCACTCGATTGGAAACAAAGATATTACATACCGGTCCATGGGCCAGTCATTCTTGAATAAAACAGTCAGCAGTTCAGGGTCATCACGAGCTAGCTGGTTGTATACAGATCCCACAGAGGCAAAAGTACCGTAGCCTCCAGTAGCTGTCGTTTCGAGAGCGTACATTGCCACCACATCGCCGCTGTCAGTGTGAAGTGGCTATGCACGTCAACAAAATGTCGCGTAACAGGAGATGGTTCGAACCCACAAGCGCGACGTTGCAATACGGCGCTGCACATCCGTTCAGACCGTTCAGCTTATCGATAGAAGCCAGGTCTTTGATGTGGGCTATCGTTGTTAACAGGTCGATTCTATGTGAAACGACTGGGATAACGCTCACTAACGACCTTGCCACCAGATTGTTTGCCAAATTCTTCGCAGAGGTGTGATGCGAGTCCAGCAAAGACACAGATATTTTCTCTACGGCTGAAGCTGACCGGACCAAGGCCACGAAGTAGCAACATACCAACTCCAGTGTGTAGCGTCTGTCGCCTCTCCGTTAATGCCTCTGCCAACAATGGTATGCTGAACGTCTTAGGCGAAACTTCACGTAACTTTCGACCGGATTCTCAAGACCATTAGCCCAAAGCCATATCAATGGTCCAAGAACTGGCGACAAACCCATGAACTTGGCACATGCATGCTTGATCTCTCCAAGGTGCGTCTCATTAAGTTGGAAAACATAATCAGTTGATTTGAGCGCAGAGCCGTCCCAAATAAGGACCGACTCAACCCTTGCGGGCAGGTCTCGTAGAAATGAACCGGCAAGGTTCTTGCAGGAATATTTGTTTCGTCGCAGAGCACGTCTCTCCCAGAATTGCGCAGTATCGTCAGGGTAGTAATGAGGCTGAAACTGGTGAGCTTGGGTGAATTCAGACATGTCGCTACTTCGCACACCCATAGTATCAGCGACCGACTGGTTTATACTCTATTGTCTGAGCCATCATCAGCTGGAGAATCGACGTGTCAAGCCCGTGACAATGCAGCTTCGTATCTTCCTGAGAACGCATCGATCTAGTTGTGAGGTGTGTAAGTAACACTGGTCCGGTGAAAGCTATGTTAGTGTCACAGCGGTAAATGCGGCAAGTGCGGGCTGCGGGCGCCACCTCAACACGATGATTCACTTTCTGACGCTATTCCGCTTTGGGAATCTCGTTCTCAAGCGGGCTAGCGTGGCTAGAACTGTACTTACACCCTGTCTGCAATCGTATTTAGTGCTACTAATAAGAACAAGGTAGCAAAGGAGCTTTGTGCTAACTAAAAGCATCCTGAGCGTTATTGAAGGTATTTTTTAGGTCTGCGATCTAGGTAACGACTTGAGTATTGTGAATGAAGGCTATGGTTGGCTTAATTCTCTTTGTTCCGTGGATTTGCGGATCCAAATAACGCTGACTGGCTGGACAGATTGCAGACATGGTTTATTATCTTTTCGCGTGGAGGGGGTGCGGGATCAACGGATGACCCCAACTCTGAGCTGAGGAGTGCGCCTCCAACTCTAAGGATGCCTGCATGCATATGTACACTACATAAGTACACTACTGCAACAAGATGTAAGTCTCTAGTGTACGGAAGCTACCCCACTTTTGCTCGGGCAGGCTTCAGAATTAAGAAAATACTCTCTATTATAGCTTAAGAGGCGATATATTCCTCGATCTTGAGTAAATTTTGATAAGCTGGAAGATTAACCACCCTGTATCGGGTCATTATTATTACCCCTTTTCAGCACAGCCACGGATGATAACCTTTGGCTCTCAACGTGTGACAATGCGAGAGCTAGGTATTTCATTGGCTTTTTGAACAAGCAAAAAGAGATCTCCATGCTTGGCCAGGTGATACCCATGCTTGGTCATACCGCTCTTCTCCCTCTTCTTCTTCTTCTTCTTCTTCTTCACAAGGCAGATTAGGGGCGCTGCTGATTACCTCTTTTCTTGTCCGCAGCTACACGAGGGCCCTCCCTCATAACCTCCATGAAGGCCAGCTACTGAAACAACACGATGCCGCGCAATAGCTCCTCTCTAGATCTTTTGGGCGATGAAGAACAAGAGGTTTTCCCATTAATTGGGCGGCGACGGGCCCGGAAAACTGGCTCACAATATCGCATCATGGTAATAATCGCGCCTGCATTTTTATTGTTGTTACTGGCCGCTTCTATGCTTACTCGAACCGAATCGCCAGCCCGAAATGTCCAGCATCGTCTAGCGTGCTCTACACACCGGGGGGATTGCGAAACAACAGCACCTTTCATATTTGATACAGTACATTCACTGCTTAAGCAGTGGCCAAATACATACGGACCCAACGGACACTCAATCGTAGCAGCAACGATACCAGTCAATATTCAACTTTATCACGCTAGGCCAGATGGAAAGCCTCCAAAAGTACCCACATTTTTTGCATTCGATGCGTACGTACGCGAGATCGCAACATGCAAACACTCTGCTTTGTCGGTAGCTGTGACTGATATACCACAGAGAGATGTCCCTCGGCATATACGCCGGTTCCGGAACACCGACCATATACACAATGACGACGACGAAACCATTGAAAGTACTCTATTTTGATGGACAGGCAGCCTCGTTGACATACTGGGGAACGCTTGATTCGCAGATGGCGCTGCTGCAAAACCAAGTTCCGGATAACGCTAGCGAGAGATTGGTTTTCGATGAAGACCGGAGGGCAAGGGAGCTTTGCGCCCTCCTAAAAAGCCTCGGTATCGATGGCATTGTTCGCATGAATGCTGGGTTTGAGGTCTTGATCTGCGACTATGTTGCTGTTGGTGTTCGTCAGGTGCATGCTAGCAATATCACAGTCCCGGGAAATGTGGAAAGAGAACATGATCCCAGCCTTCCGCGGGATCCGAATAGAGCACCCCCGCTAGGATATGGCAATGAATTTGCGCCACAGAATAGCTGGGAGTGGATCAGAAGTGGCACCTGGCATTACGGCACAGGAGAAGCTGCTGCTGATAGCAATAAAGAGACGCGTGTCTCACTTGATCTTTGTCGATTTATCACGTATTATGACCCATTCCTTCGCAGTCTTAGTGGCCATCATCACAGCCAGCAAGATGTCTTGTACCAGAATGGCTGGGGATTGCGCAGAGGTCATCGATTGTCAGCCATATCGGCGAACGATATCGGAACTGTGAAGTCCTGGTTGAAACAAATCGCTGCACCCAGCAAACAGGACTGTTCTGGCATCGACTGGCAAGCGCTCACCGAGAACGTCGTTAAGCAACATGGAACTCGCGCAAAAGAGATGTTGGCAATAGTGAGGCATGCCGCTAAGGACAATAACACTATGCAGGAAGCTCTGACCAAAATCCATGAGTTGTCACATGCAGTACTCTACACCTATCTGGAATATCCCACTGCGGTAGGCATCTCGCCTGCAGCTGCCAAAAAGCAGACAATATCAAGGTGCTCTGGAATTTACACTGATCATGTCGACAGCAATCGTCTCAGCGACTTTGAGGTAATTATCAGAGATTCAATTAAACTAGTGATGCATAAATTGTGTTCATGGGAGTTTGATCTCTTTGCACTGAGCGACCGGTACACCTCAGACTTATTCGACCCCAAACACGAACTTGTTGTTTCTTCCGGACTTGTGTCTGTAGCGAGCGTGAGAGCTGCCTTCGATTACATTCGAACAAGCACCGAGGAACTGATGGAGTGGATTGGCTGGAATGGCTGGCACGGATGTGACCACAAATGCGCATTTAACGTGAGTTATTGTGGTTCGTTATGGGGCGTATCAAAAATTGACCATTACGACAGGAACTCTGTTACATCCCTATGTGGCCTGTCATTTATGCACCAGGAAAACATCAAGGTGGAATTTACGCTGACGATTCCTATACGGAAGCTGAAATGGTTGAATTCTGGCGGCCAAAATGTATTAATAGAACGTTATTTGATATAGGAGGAGGACGTGCACGCGAACCATCCCACCAGCTCCCCGATGTACCGTCACACCTCCCAACATCCACACTAATAATCGACACTTAAATCGCATCGTGGGAAGATTCACGTTTTGGGATAATACACACTGGGGATGCCCTGGCTAGCGAGAATAGGATGATGGATGATATTTCATCCAAATATGTCTTCAGACTATTGACACTCTACAACATCGCCCGATGACTAGATGGTGGTAGAGAAACGAGGTGTAAGATCTATAATTATATCAGTGAATTAATGGGCTTTTAGTGGGCTTGGGTCGAACCTCGACACCGGCCGAAGCTAATCTATAACTCATCTTCTCGTCACAAGCTGCGTACATGACGATATCTTGGACGCGTGTTGTACCCAATGCCGGAAACTCGCGGACGTTGAAAGAGGCTAATGAGTCCATAGTATGCTGATATGACTATAAGTGGAACGTGGCCATCTGACAGAGGCATCAAACTCACCTGTGGTATTCTGCTTCCTATCAAAGGCCAGTCTGATCGATTGGAGTATGGCGGTGGCACACGGTCTGGCTCCGCTGATTTTGACATGTTTGAATCACACCACTATTGTACAGGTGTCAGTTAGTTATGTACAAACTTCTCGGCCAGTGCTTGCTTACTTCCACAAGCTGCTGTTCTTCGTCATAGTTGGAGGGAGTGGGAACCATGTAGCAATGGGACTCGTCAATTAGGATGTTTTGCTCCACTCTCGAAACATAGATCAGACATTCGAATGGCGTTGTCTCGGGCGATAGCTTAGGTTCCCAGTGACCAGTCTCACTGAAAACGCACCAGGCAAACGCAAAGTCTAGAGATTCCGTCCAATAAACGCCGGGGGTGCGAGAGAAGTAGCTCTGGGGCCGCGAAAAGTAGATCGAAGGCCCATATCTTGAGAAAGATTCTAATAAAGCTGGGCTTATTTCGTTCGCGCAGCCATGAAAGAGGTAGCGCTGTGTTGTGCTCAGAGTATTACCATCAAGACTGCTAGTAGCCTTGCGCACATCGAAGTAAGGCGCCAGGGTTGTACTGGTTCGGTTTTGGAATGACCAAAGATTAACTTTTCGGACCGGGATCTTTAGATGATGTTTGATGCAAGGAAGATTTTCTGGGGGCCTCAATTCCTTGATTCTTCGACGCGGGGGAGGACCAGGGAGCCAATAACGAGCGTCTGCATTAGTTTGAGGCGCCGCGCAGTGCTGAACGGTATCTGTACTAGTTGTTGGCAAGTGCGCAATATTGCCCTTAGATACAACGTTAAGGGATATCAGAGCCATCTCTGTAGTTGTGTGGATGAATAGCGCAGTTGCCGCGCTGTCTTTTCTCATAGCCTTACTTATATCCATCAGGCTGATGTGGCTGAGGTTGCAGGAGGTACCCCACGTCAAGGAAGGCAGACACGGCAATCAACCAGGCAAAATTGTTGTACCACGTCATTCATGCATTCTATGATCACATGCAAGCTCATGTACATTTAGAGGCGTCTGCGTGCCATCGTAACAGCCACTGCCCTTGCGAGGACCCATCCATTCGAAAGTTCGCTACTACCTCCTGACCAGACACTTATGCGTCTACTTTACCCGACGCTAATATCTGTACCAACAGCTCCCACTTTATCAGTCCTATTTGTGCATACATACAGTTTTTGGTCATTTGTACACATCACCAGCCTGCTCAAGACTAAAGAAATGGCGGCCGAAGAGTTTGTAGTCCTGGAAGGCACCCATTTCGAAGGGGGCGGCGGACTAATTCGGGATGTCCTATCCTTTTCCACCCTGCTCAATCGAGATGTGCAGATCAATTCTATACGCGCAAACAGACCAGGGATCGGTGGGCTACGTGTCGAACACACTATCGCCATTGATACTATGGCATACCTCACTGGAGCAGTCGTAGAAGGTAACGCGATTGCAAGCCGACAGCTTGTTTTCAAGCCGCACAAGAACCCCAAAGCAGAGGTTATCGAAGATGGAAAGTATCTAGATATCACTTTTGAGGGCTCAGCCGCAATTTTCATGATTGCCATGATACCATACATCCTTTTCTCACACCTGGGAGCTGCCGCCTACATCCAACCGATCATCCCGAAGGCTGGGATTGGGTTAACCATCAGAGCAGGGACGCTTTGTGTCAAAGCCCCATCTTACCACAATGTGGTAGAAGTCCTGCTACCTACTCTGAAGGCTATTGGGATTGGTGAGGATTTCATCAAGCTTGACACAAGTTACGAACAAGGATGGCATACCGACTATGTCAAGATCCCTGGACGTATAAAGCTCTGGGTCAAGCCACTCCAAGTCCCACTGAAGGCTTTCATCCTGGAGAAACGAGGGGAGGTAACAATTATTAGTATCATCGCCCACGCACCAGAAGACGAATACCAAGAGTTCAGTGCCACAGTAAAAAAAGAAATCGAAGAAGCTTTCCGTCAACGCAGTAGTAGTCCAAATGTCAAGCTTGATATACAGGTTCAAACGTTCCAATCCTCGGTTCCCGATCAATACCACCTTCTTTTGGTTGCAGAGACTGTAGATCCTAACGCGAGAATTGGATACGAAGAAGTGTTTCCGCAAAAGTCAGGTTTCCCCGAAAGGCTAGCACTTAATAAAGATAGACTATTCAAACACCTCGCACGAGTCTGCATTTGTGGTCTGGTCAAAGAGCTCATATCGGGTAATGCTGTGGATGAGAATATCGAGGATATGCTTGCGATCTACCAAAGCCTTGCGAACGGGTTTTCTTCTGTGGCTGCGCCCGGAAATGCAAGACTGGTTGCCGAAGATCCCAGGTTGAAGGTGCCTCTAGGTTTGTCCGGTTAGAAAATGTGCAAAGACCACAGACTAACTAGAAGATAGAGATGCCCAGCGACGACTATGATTTTGACACGAAAACTCTGCATCGAGAGACGGCTTATTGGGTTGCCAATAAAATGGCCGGTGTTACCTTCGTAGAGAAAGACGGTAGAAGAGGCTGCCATGGGGTTGCACTGGGAAATACACGCTAAAGGTAATATCCCCTCCATGTATCAGTATCCAGGATTTTCTAGACTAAATGCTTTGAAATCTAGCTTCTACTCGCTTTATCCCAAGTTTTACTTTCCGCGAATTTTGCACTATTATACAACATCTGACGCATACCCTGCATCTGTGTCTACTCTTGTAAGCAACTTGCATGGTCAATCCTAATAAAAGTAATGGGTAAATTACAGCGAACCCAACAATAGCATACAATACATTCAACATACTGGCGTCCTTCATACCGACACTAGCTGCAGCGCTAATCTCAACATCCTACCTATGCGGTGTGATAGCTGGCACAGCTTGACCGCAAGGTTGTCACGAAGCGTACATTCTGCATTAGCATGAGATAATTCCTCCTAGTGTCAATAATCAAAACCACTTCCAGCAAGATCTCTACGGGAGTTTTGTCTGTTAGAATTCAATGCCGTCATCATAACAAACATAACACGCCGTCACGGCTCGATCTCGGCATCAAAGATCTACACGCGGCACCAGAAATAGCCCACCCAGCTGAACCCTAACCAAACGCCTCCCCGTGCATCCCACCCAGCGGCCGAATCCCACGTGTAACTAAACCCACCACCTACACTCATTTATTCCCCCATCGCACAAACTGTAGATTGTTTTTTTTTTACTTTGAACCCGTGTCTACCGCCCGAGAAACAGCACTCTTGCTCTCACTACCCGCCCGGCCCGCCCGCCATGGCGACGCGTAAAGACCGCGTGAAACCCACGCCGTACCCCTTCCTCTGGTTCCACCTTCCGCGAAGCGCACAACTAGTCTCGTCGCTCGTGGTAGCGGGTATTATATCGTATTTCTTGCGCGAACTATCGCGGGATGGGTATACGTTGCCCTGGACGTTTATCTTGGTACGATTATCCCAGAATGTTGATTTGATTGAACCCTTTTGGGCATCATTGCCTGGTGCGACGGAGGGATATAGAAAAGAGATCGATGGCTAATTCGGGAATAGCTTATGGTGGTATCAGTCCTGACTATTGTCGCTCTTGCATCGACTATTGTGCTGCATTTATACCACGGTCTTAATCCGGGTTTGAATATCGCCGTCAACGGTTCACTCGGGGTGCTGTGGATTGTGTCGTTCGGGCTGCTGGCGAGATGGACTTCCGGCACGGTAGCGGGTGTCTGTGATACTTCGCATTGGGACTCTGATACAGGAGTGAACATATGTAGGCAGTACAAGGCGCTGTTTAGCTTCGCGCTGCTGGGTTTGCTCGCAACGCTGCTGGCGGTGGCTGTAGATGTTAAGGTGCTGAAGGGAGCAAGGACGAGAGGCGTCTTTCAGCCGGTAGATGGAATGGCGGGTGAGAGGAAGGGAGCTCTGGATAACTCGCAGGACCCGGAAGCCAATCCTAATCCGATCGCTGCGCGGACAAGGCAGGTTAGAGGTGGCGAGGGGTATGCGTTACCAGAAGAGCAGTTTGAGTATGATGATTTAGAGTATCATGGAGCAGCAGGGGAGATTCGACGGAGGAGCTTGGAACGTAGAACATGAGGTATGGCAAATCCAATTCATTAATGTTGTTACATACAAAACGCCGTATTCTCAAGTACTGATACACTGATCTTTTGCAAACGCCGCCCAATGTTGGCATTATGCCGGGTATCATAGTAGAAGAAGATTAGAAGATGTCGTCCATGTTCGCCTCCTTCCCACTCATGGCAGCCGCTGCTGCATGTTCGGTGCCGACATCTGCATCCATAGACATGGACGGAGCATCCCTTGCTGCGATCTCATCCTCAATAAAGACCCCGAAGCCTCCAAAGGCTTCGCGCAACGCGCGGTCGCAGTAGTCCTGCAGACTGTGTCCTCCAACAAGATGTGCCGAGTCTTTCTTCATACGCGCATACCAGTCGACATCGTAATTGTCTTGAAGTACGTAGTACTGAGGAGCAATATTGTATCCTCCCCATGGATCGAAAGGCGGCTCCTTTGGTGGCGGAACATATTTCTTGAGTCCATGGAACATGAGATCAGCGCCATCATCCTTCTGGCCGGTACCTTTGGCACCACCATTCTTCCCAGCGTCACGCTTTGTAGTAGCGGCATTCGAATCTGCCTTTTGGAGTGCTTCGAACCGGTGAAGTTTGTTCCACGTCGCATCCACGTCAATGTTGAGGATAAGGTTCCAGGTCATTTCTTCGACCTGCTCTAGGTAATCGTTGTAATCTCTCAACGTCTCGAAATCGTCTTCTGTTTTGTTCATACTGGTCTGCTGTTAGCCCAACACCAATATGTGCACGGCAAACTTCACTTGCATCTTCATAACCTTCTTTCGCAGATCCACCTCCCTTTCCACCTTCAAATCTTCAAAGGTTGCCCTTCGAAAGTTCCTATATGCCAATGTCTTTGCGCATCCCGCCACAGGACATATGTTGTTTCCTTTGTTGCCTCCAAACAGACGTTCGACACAGGTATCGCACATGGAATGATAGCACGTAGGGTTGATTTTGAATTGCATGTTCGGGTCAAGGTAACCCGACGCCTTGCAGACGGGGCATACGCCTGAGAGAGCATCAGCGAGAGGTTCGCGCGGCGCATGCAGCAAAGATAGGTTATATAGAGATTTAGAAAGGGCAAACGCACCGCTATCCTGCTTCGACGCGCCTGTTGCGCGTCCGGATCTCGACATGGCGGAGGTGAGGCGAAGGTGATGTGAAGCTTTGCAGGCGAGTAACTTGTCTTGGGCTGATTACTCAGCAGTAGGATTTCGCTTATTGCTCTGTTAGACCGACAGCATGGCTTGCTTTCCCAATACGAGTGAACAAAATAATGCGATGGCGAGCTTTTGTGAATAATTACATACGAAGTTGGTTGTAGCATTGTAAGACGCCAGTGCTCTGGATGCGCGCGCATGGTCCCCCTGCGGGGCGAGCTAACTGCCAAGCTCGGCCATTTTCTGCAGACAAATTCCGCCAACTTTTTTCTTTCCCTTCTTCTTCCTCCTTCACCTCGTCTACTCTAGGACAACACCGACATAATGGCAGCCTCGACACAAAGTACTCTAGAGGATATTGAACGCCGCCGAGTGCAGCTTCAACAGACTGTTGACCAGCTCCGCAAGTCCTTGAATCACTGGACCACCTGGGAGGCAGAGTATGAGGCGCTCAAAGAAGAAATCGAGGCTGCCGGTGACCCCTCGCCCTCACAAATACGTGAGATGGCACGCGAACTGGAGCTCGAGTTGCTCAATGAAAAAGAGCTCGATGAGCTGCTCCGCAAGAAATCGTCAACCGAAAGCACTGGTAACGAAGTTGTTAACAAGATCTCTAGACGCATTGACTATGTGCGAACCAACAGTGCTACAATCGAGAAGAACCTTGATGCCGCCGAGAAGAAGCTTGCTGGTGTCGATGTCCTGTTAGAGCCTGGGATGGACAATGAAGAAGGCGAACCAATGATGGACATTGAAGAAGAGCTAGACGAAGAAGGTAACGAGATATCGAGCTCAGTCAACCAGACGGGAAAGGCTGCTGCTGAGCTTGTGGATGTGTTGCGCAAGGCTGGGATTCAGAAGGCTGAACTGGAGAAGAAGAATGCGGCGCAAGCAAAGGAACAACCACCGAAACCTTCGTCCACTTCTCCGCCAGTTTCAGATCCTGCGAAGGAATCCACGCCTACTGTTTCGTCGGAACCGGCACCTGTCGAAAACCGCACTGCAACGGACCAGTCTCCTCCAAAGAAAGCTGTGTCCTTCGCTGAGAAGGTCGACGTCGAGCCACAGGTGAAGCCGGTATCGAAACCTCAAGTTAGTCAAGACCTTGCGTCGGTGCAATTTCCAGAGGGTGTCAGAGCAGTCGAGCTCGAGGACGACGAAGACCTTTCGTCGGCCGTTATACCCGAAGACGAGTCTCCAGAAGATGCCGAGCTTAGAAGGCAGATGCTGCAGTATGGCATGTCAGAAGTTGGACGAGTCGTTGCAGAGCTGAACCTCGATGAGCCTACTGCATCATTTTCTGATGACGAATCAGACTACGATGAATACGACTACGACACCGAGGATGAAGAAGAGGAAGACGAATACGGTCGGAGCACAAGGCCCGTCATCACTGAGGAATATCGAAAGCAGATGATGGAGCTTGAAAAGAAGCTGGGTGCTCGCATGCTCGAAAATATTGGACCGCGGCCGGACGATCGCCCATTAGACGAGCACATTGGCGACATTCGCACCATGCGTATACAGAAAGACGAGCAGTTTGATAAGGCCTTGGATACATCAAAGTCCGCTGCGCAGTCAACAGACGATGGTGGCGACGAACAGTCAAAGAAGAAGGGCGTGCGATTCGCGAATGAAGTCGACGTATCTGAAGCTCCGAAGCCAGTGCCAGAAGTAAAACGAACAACACAGCCGGCGGCCAAACCAGTGTCAACAATTGCAGACACCATCGTAGAGAGATCTGCACCTGCTCCACCGTCTGAAGTAGAACCTCCCAAGCCGGGCAAGATCTCGAAGTTCAAGAGTGCCCGTGCTTCAGCAAACACTCCACAAGTACTGCCTACGCCTCCTGTCCCAGAAGCGCCGCCTGTACCGACTGGGCCTGCTGGTCAGACACTAGCTTCAACAATCACTGAGCACGTCCCCTTACCGTCAGAGCCTCAAGCGCCTGATGAATTTGACCAGGTTCTTTTGAATCGCGAAATCCAAGCCCAGTATCACAAGGCGCGGAATCGATTTATCCAGCGACAGGGTGGATTCAAGGCGACAGAAGAGGACGAGGAGAACCCAATCATGGAAGAGCGAAATGGAAAGCCGAAGAAGGTAAGTAGATTTATGGCGGCAAGACTGAAGGCCGAGGGTATGTAAGTCTCTATACATTACCAGCACCGGCTTGTCGTCCACTCTTTCTTTTATATGCGTGACACAACAAACGGAACAATTCATGTCCGTGAGAGATGCCATTACCATGCGTCAAGACTCACATTACATTGTTTCCAAGATCGAGCTGGAGCCACTAGACGCGTTTGGCTACTTGTGCCTGTGCGCGGTTCATTTTTCTCCATACATATATATTGTTGTCAACAATCTGTGTTGGCACGAATGAATACAATACCATTTTTGGAAATCCTATGGGAAGCCCTCATTGATTAGTGATGTGGCGTTGTCTTTTTGCATAGTATGCCAGGCCAGCCCAGTGGAGAAACGACGTCAGGCGGGGCAGGCATGGTGGGGGTCCTCTGTGCCTGACATCGTAATTTTTCTACGCCTCCCAAGTGATAGTATGACTTCGGACTCCAGCTTCTCCACGCCCTCCGATTCGCTGCTTCCTGCCCTTGATCTGCCTTCGCCTTTTTCAGACGCCTCCAAAAATCCTGCCCACCTTGCCTTTGCCCCGATAGCGCTGGCGCAGTACCACAACATTGCCCAAGAGCTGGCCTCCAACAACCTCTACCGCATCCTACGCGCTCCAGGCCCTATCCGTGTATGGGTGTACCGCTGCCTACTCGCCCAACACCAGCTGTGGCATGACTGGAATCAGCACGCGATATCGCCAGCAATTACTGTGAAGAATTCGACAGGCAACATGGTCGACGGCAGCGTCAACGGTACCGAGAGCGTGGGCGAGTCTGAGCGCCCGGAGAGCTCAAATGGCAGACCAGCAAGGCCATACCTTACCCGTCTTCGCCTCGCACTCGCCCCCTATACCGTTCACTTTCACAATCCCGGCTATATCAGAGACGATACGCTGCGCATGTTGGAGCGCGACATTGTGAAGAAAACACTGGAGGAGTCGCGCAAGAGCTTGGAGTTGCGCGAAGAACTCGGCCTCTCGTGGGAGTTTTGGGACGAGCTTGCAGGCGTACTCAAGGCCGCTGTTCCCTCGCTCGAACGTCGCTGCTTTGCTGCGCCAGATCCTGCAGCTCCAGAATATGAGGGGCTGTCGGGTCCCCTCATAGCTAGTTACTCACCGAGCCTGCTGAGAGATCTGGAACGGCTGAACCAGCTTGTGTGCATTGCGCGCAACGTGTTGGTCCATGGAGAGCGGGTACAGAATCTCAGTGCAGATAGGCTGTTCGACAAGGACATATTCGCTCTCATAAATGTCTGTGTGCGTGTCACGGCGAGGGGCTACGACGGCGAAGCGGGAACTCAAGACGAGGACAAATGGCAGGGCGTCATCAATGCATATAAGAAGCTATTGATCACTTGCCTACAATTCCTGAACAATCTCATCGCCAAGAATGAGCAGCGCAAACTCATGCTCTGGATTGAACTCTTTGATAGCCACCTGGACAATGAGCTCCCCAACTTCGCCGATATGAAATACAAAATGGATGAGTTTCCGCAACAGGATCAAGAACCACCTCCAGAAGAACAGCCTTTGCCAAGTCACGCAGCGCGGAGCTTGGACACGTTTAAGATACCTCAACAACCCGCTTCGTCCCCTTTCCTACTCTACATTGGTGAGACTGGAAATGACGTCAAGAAGGCTCTCACACAGCACGGAGTCAAGGCTGGTGCAAATGAGATTGCCGCTGAGTGCAGAAGACGATGGCAAACCATGAGCGAAGAAGAAAAGAACGTAAGTGGAGACTAGTCTCTCTTTCCGAAGTCCCTATTGACCTCTCTAGAAATGGAACATGCTCTATGCAGACGTTGTTGCCAGATACCGGGACCAAATCACTCAGTCCAGCACATACCGCAAGGTTGTCGATCAGCATGCCAAGAATGAGGAGAGCGTGCAAGCGCTGGCAAAAAGCATCAACCAGCTCCAGGTTGAGGTTGACCGAATGCGCTCATCCATTACCGTGTTACCAGGGGACGAGTCCGGCCAAGACCAACCATCGTCAGCCCAGGATGGGGAGAAGCAGTCCCCGAAACCAGCAGCGGATGACTCGTTACTAGATCCCAGCATCAAACGGTCTCCCCCGGCAGGTGAGATCGATTTCCGTGTGACATACCCGCCATCCTTTGGAGCCGAGATTCTTCAGAATGGCAAAGAAGACTTGCTCAAGCGTCTGGAGCCAGACCCCGACCGACCATCAGGGCTAATCAGTGACGTAGCCTCTCCAACTTCCCCTCCACCAGAGGACGACGATGATAATGACGATGACTACGACGACATTCCTGGAGATGAAGGCCGAGGTCTACTCACAGATGTTCCCTTGATTCTGGGACCCACTGAGATCGAAGTTCTACCCATGATCATCATGGCTGGCATCGTTGAGCCACAAGAGGGACAGCCTGGATATCACTCGGATCCGACTGTCTTCAGTAGCGTGAGGAGCATGCATGGTGTTCGGTGCCATCTTCTCCTTGCCCAAGACAACGGAAGAAATCTACTGCGCGAGCTGTTGATCTTTGTTGCTGCCTGGGACCTGAGGGAGGAAGAGCTCTACTTCAAGTTCATGGTGAAAATCATGGAAGCCATCCTTGCGAACCAGCTTCTACCATTTGCCTATCATGCTTTCAGAGAATCTGAGTAAGTCCACTGGGTGACTTGGTAGAATTCAACTGACAATGTACCAGATCCAAGGATATTATATCGCCAGCTCAGGCCGTCATAATGAAACTTCTCACCAACATCTTCCGCGCGAGGCAAGCTCGTACCCAGCCCGCCAAAGGCCATCTCAAAGCGAACCATCCACAAGTCGATCAGGGCGACGTTCACATGGTCAATTTCCTGCTCACTGAGTTCCGGCGGCATATCATTCCACAGACTTGCGCACTCATTTTTCTCCAGGGACAAATTCGGGCTGGACATGCACAACCTGAGGACTTTCCCCTCAATCTCTGGGATATGGAGCGCATGTACGAGGGCGTCTACCAATACTTGGAGTTCTTCGCTATCCTGACTGAACACGAAACATGGAAGAGGATGCTAAGTAACTGGGAGATTTCTCACGAGCTAGTTACGTTGCTCAAAGAGCTCGATGCAGCGATTCCTAAGGGTCAGTTGTCACCACCACCTCTGAGGAATGTTCAACATGCCCAACCCACAACTGCACCAGCAGAGGGAGATGCTTCACAGCAGCAGCAGCAACAACAGTCATCACAACCCCAACCGGTTGCTGTAGAGCGACCATATGACACTACAGCAGGAGCTGCAGAGGCCTATGCTCCTCCACCAACATCACCATCACCTAGGCCGTACATGGATGAAGCCGCCGATGAGCCCTCAGACTTTGAATGGCGCAACCTTAAGAAGCTTGCCGTACTTGTGCTGAGCTCCCTGGTGTGGAAGAACAAACAAGTACAAGACCAGATCCGTCCTCTGGGTGGTATTGAGGCAGTCTTGAATTGCTGTTCCTATGACGAGCACAACCCATATATCCGCGAGCATGCCATCATGTGTCTGCGGTTCCTTATGGAAGGCAACAAAGAAAACCAAGACTGCATTCATGCGCTTGAGAGATATAGTCAAGATGCAATCAACAAAGCCAAGACCTCGACGAACTCATCATCTTCTTCAAGCACTCCTGCAGCGGCAAGCGAGAGCAACAACAGATCACCCGTCAATGTCCGCGTGCCTGACGAAGTGCTCGATCAACAAGGGTACGAAACCTACATGGACAAACAAGGGCAGGTCATGTTGCGAAAACGACAGCCTCAGCCTCAGCCCCAGCAGCCACTGACATCTCGCTCAGATACAGGAAGCAAGGGTAAAGGAAAAGTCGATGCTGCTACGCTAGGTAGCATGAGGGATCCAAAAGCACTTGAGGATCTGGTACAGCAAGTCATGCGTGATCTGCCCCGTGTGCAAGGCCTCAGGGGTGGGGAAGAGAGAGCGGTGGAGGTCGAGGAGGCATTGAAGAAGCTAGACAAAGGATTTGACGGTGGGAGCTCGCAAGGTTGAATGTCAAACTCTGCATCTACCGAGTTGAGCAAGCACCAAAAACAGCTCTATCGGATTGGCTGCGCTGACGTCAAAGGCTGCCTTTGTGTAAGACTCCAAGCACAAAGGCCCGTCTTCGAAGATGACATTCTTCGTAACGAGCGCTCACAACGGGGCGTATTTCTGGGGCAATATTCGAATATTTTCGAGTCGGAGATTGGCTGCAAGAGTCAGCGGTGAGGTCTATGCCTCGGAGTTGGGTATGGTTCGCATACGAGGGATCGGCAGCAGCAAGCCCGGTTTCGGGGACATTATTACCCGAAGCAGCGTTGACGGTCGCGATACCTTCCATGGCTTGCTCCACATTTTCCAACGTCCGTCATGTCGGCTCGTAGAAAAAGTACCGGCCCTGTCTACCGTTGACGATAACGAATCGCTAGTCACGCAATTTCGCACCCCACAATTTTTATCGAAAGCACCGTATCGAGCAGGTCCCAAGGCCTGTGCCACTGTATCTCTTGGCAACTGGGCCAAGACAGGTGGAGAAGAGGGTAATACTGCGTATACTTACCAAGCGGATACTGGCAAGGCCCGACTTCGGAGTCTGTATGTAGAACATGCCCTGTTTTTAACCTGAATAGAACATAATGTATTTCCAACTGCAACGTCTTCTTGTTGTCGACGAAGCTGCTCGCTCTGAGCTGCTTTCACAACTTTACGTCAGCGTCATGACTCGTCTTACCATGGCTCAAAAGACTCTCACCACCCTCGTATGGCTGAGTAGTGTCGCCTCGACACAGGCCGCGCCCCAAGTCACGCTTCCCGGCTACGGGAGCTTTGTCGGTACGACTATCTCGCAGACACTGACCAAGAAGCCGCTGCCAAAGCCCGTGGATGCCTGGCTCGGGATCGATTATGTCTCGCAGCCTGTAGGAGAAGCACGGTTCGCGCCCGTTGGACCCCCGGAATTGTTTGAGGGCGTGAAGAATGCAACTCAATATGGATTTTCGTGCCATCAGGATCCGCGGGATATCACGTACGAGGTTAACGAGGCATGTTTGAACATGAATGTGTTTCGTCCGCAGAATGTATCGGCGCATGAGAAATTGCCTGTACTCGTCTGGATTCATGGAGTGAGTTGCGGTTTGCTATGTTGATATGACCGTGCTTTTCTGACAAAATCAGGGTGGGTTTGTAGCTGGTAGCTCAAGAAGTTTCGACGGACCATCTTTCGTATCTAATTCCCGCGAGCCATTAATCGTCGTCAACTTCAACTACAGAGTAAGATAGTACCATATCCAAAAAAAAAAAAGAGATATGCGTTTGATATACTAAAAAAAATTCGCGAATCAGGTAAACTCCTTCGGCTTCCTCCCCTCGCCCGTCTTCGAGCGCCTAGGCCTGCTGAACCTAGGCCTCCGAGACCAGCAATCCCTCCTGGAATTTGTACAAAAATACATTGCACAGTTCGGCGGCGACGCATCCCGCGTTACGCTGGGCGGCCGTTCCGCAGGCGCCCACTCAACCGCCATCCACCTCTTCCACAACTACAACTCTTCAGACGGCGCCTCCCCGCTCTTCTCCCAGGCCATCCTGCAATCCGGCAGCGTAACCGCGCGGTCCTTCCCCAACGCCTCGTACCCACTCTACCAACAGCAGTTTAGCCAGTACCTCAGCCTCGCGGGCTGCGCCTCCGCCGCAAATAGCTCCGACACCGCCATCCTCGCCTGCCTACGCGCCGCCCCCATTTCCGCCCTGGAAAACGCAAGTACCCAGCTCTGGCGCGCCTCCGAATACAGCATCACGTGGCCCTTCCAACCCACCCGCGGCGGCTTTTTACTCGAAAAAGCGGGGTCGCAGGCGGGTAAGGAGGGACTGTTCTACCGTATTCCCACCATCACTACCAATGTACTTGACGAAGCGAAATATTACTCCCCAGGAGATATATCTACAAACGCGGAGTTCCTGGCCTACCTACACACGCTCATCCCGGGCCTCACTCCCGCCGATCTTCAGGATATCGAGAAGTTGTATCCGGATCCAGCGCTGGATCCGGTGAATGGGCCGTACGCGTTCAGTCCGAATTCTACACAGTATAATCGTCTTTCGGCTGCGCTGACAGATTACATGTACGTCTGTCCTGGTCAGGAAACCGCCGTTCGCATGGCTTCCAAAGGTGCACACGTGTTCAAAGCCGTGTGGGCAGTTAACAACACTTTTCCTGCGTGGAAGGGTGTGCCGCATACAGCCGATACCAAATATACCTGGGCGGAACCGGCGGGGGCAGGTGGAGTCCAGTATCCAGAGGTGGGGAAACAGGTGCTACATGCGTTTTTTTCGGATTTCGTGGCGTTGGGCGGGAGCCCGAGTGTGGGGGTAAGGCAGGGTGTGCCGGTTTGGCCGAGGTATGAAGAGAAGGGTGATGGGGTGCCCGGGTTGCAGTTGAGGATTGAAGCGTTTGGGAATAGTCGGGTTGAGGGGGATGGGGTGAGGAGGGTGCAGTGTGAGTGGTGGAGGGATGAGGGGAGGGCGGTGAGGCTGGAGAAGTGAGGATGGGAAAGAGAAAAGAAAACGACATTACGATATCAAAGTCTGCACGAGAAAACGGATGATGGGAGATGGTGGACAACATGATAAAAGTTCACAACAAGTCAATGGTATATTTTCTCTCTCTCTCTCTCTCTCTCTCTCTCTCCCTACTTTTCAAATCCTTCAAGATCTCTCTCCCAATGTCCAAATAGCAAAATCAACTCAATTCAATTCAATCGACAAAAAAGGTGTGGGGGGTATATATCTCCAAACTCCGACTCCTCCGCGAAAAGAGTTTCTCCTTCACCCCTTTTTCCTTTCCACCTTCCGTAAACATGGAGAAGAGCGGGAAAACCCCACGCAAGCGTGGGACTCCACACTTCGATATTTACGTACAGATGGAAAGTAAAAAAAAGGGGGGGAAGGAAAAGGGGGGTATAAGGTCGTGCGAAAAAGCAAGCTAAACAAAAAATGAGCGAGGGGTATCACCACCTGACATTCGTAAGGGTGCAAAAAAAAGAAGAACATAAGGTATAAAAAACAAGTGGTGAACCAACGGGGGATGGTTTGAAAAAAGGAACGTAAGTTATGGGCAACTTGTAAAAGAAGTCCCCAAAGCAAAACAATATTACAAAAGGACAGCCCGCCAAAAGGTTTTGTGAACCTCGACACACAACTTATTTCCATCATCAAATCGTCTCAGACAAATAACGAAAAAAAATGAGGTGGGGCGTTGATTACAAGAACAGAATAGCAGGGTTGGGGCGAGAAAATACTGATTTGAAATAAACATCCCAAAAAAGGTTTTTGGAATAGAAGTATGTCAAATCAGAAAAGGGGGGGTGCGTGTGCGCGCATTGCATGAACAAGGTGTCAAGTTTTGACAGGTCGGGTAAAACAAAACAAAACAAAAAAGGATACGTCAGAATGGTTGAGCAAAAAACCTAGTTTTGCTCAAACCAAACAAGAGAATGTAAAGAAAACAAAAAGAGGTCGCAACGTGGGGCGAGCAAAGAATGCAAAGAAGAGCGTAACAAGGGACATGGTCGTGAAATAAAAAGAGGGCATGAAAAACAAAGATTTGAGCGAGCCTAGGCCAGAGGGAAGCTTCCGGGTATATGGTGAGGTGAATCAAAGACGAGCACCAGTCGATGATGCAAGAAGCAGCGAGGCGTTTGGGTAGTTGGATTGGGGTTGATTTTTGCTCATAAGCAAAAAGAGTCAACTCAGAGGGCGAGGTAGCCAAGACCAGCAGCGACAATGGCAAGGTAGGTGTTTGCGGTCAGAGAAGAAGCGGCGCCAGGGAAGGCGGCAGGGGCGGAAGCGCTGGGGAGGGTAGCAGTAGACGCCGAGGGGGCAGCATTAGACGCCGAGGGAGCAGCAGTGGGCGCGATGCTGGTAGCGTTGCCAGCGTCGAAGGAGCTGAAAGAGGGCGCAACGGTGGGGTGGCTAGCGATGATGGTTGAGGTCTGGTTGACGGGTGCGCCGGTGGGAGAAGAGCTGGCAGTGACGGTGTTGACGCGGGTGATGGTCGAGGTGATGTAGACGGTGGCATCGTAACTGATGGTGTCGGAAGAGGTAGTAGCAACGGCTGTTGCGACCAGGGCGCAGAGCGCAAGAGGGATTTGCTGGAAGGAGCGCATGGTGGTGGTGGTGGTGATGATGATTTGCGTGTGTTTGGTTTGTTTGCGACGAGAAGTGAATGCGACTATAGCGCGAGCGCAAATGAGCGTTGATAGAGAGAGTAGATAGTAGTAGTGAGTGAGTGTATACAACAAAAGTGTACAGTGCGTAAGCAACGGTGAGAGCTAGCTAAAGAATGTAGTCAGCCGATGGGGCAGAAGCAAATTTAAAAGCGAGAGAGGGCAGAGAGCGAGTGAGTAAGTAGAAAGGGTCCAGGCAGAGTGGGACGTTTGAGGGGAGGAAGACGATGCGGGTGGGTCGCCGGGGAGGAAGCTCCTGCCTTGGCTGGCCGCAATTTCCCTGTTCCTGGGGCAATTTCGGCTCTTGCAAAGGCGCTAACGCAGGTCGCGCTTGCCATTTGCTCCCACTAAACGGCAGGCTCGGGTGTACCTGACCAGCGCATTGGCGTGCATCCTAACCATGACTACATCAAATCCTTCACCAACATCCGCCTCTTCCATCATCGCTGCAACGGCCCTGGATGCGCGCACAAACACCACAACCCCAGACGGCCCTTGTCGCCAGGCATGCCCTGACCCCCTCGTCCCCATATTGTCTCAACACCCAAGGCGCGTGGTTTCATGGCCGTTTGGCCAGGGAAACCTAGTCTAACCCCAATCGTTCCATCGTCACCCAGCCTGACAAGAAAAGCGCGCCGCACAGACACCCCAGGCGTGACTTGTCGACGCGGAGCCGGTAGGTACACCGCATCCAGCACACTACTACCACTACTACTACTACTACCTTTGTTCGCCCGTCGCCCTCGTGGCACGCTATCAGCCCTCGCCGGAACGGACCCCATTTATTGTGGCGATGCCAACTCTTGCTGTGCTGTCATCCACCGTCAGCCTGAGACTCTTGTCGACTGATGTGAGAGGGTAAAAGAATTTTCTGCAAAGACTTTGACCCGCCGCCTGCCCCAACACCATCGACGACTGTCCACTGACAGCCGTCGCATCAATGACTCTTCTGCTCAACAGCTGCAGGAGCCGCAGTAGCACGCTGCGGCCGGCTTCCAGCACGGTTGCTCCTCCATGGTGCGCATGATCGTGACAACTTGGCACACACACTGCCAAAAGCCAACAAGTCGAAAAAAAATAAAATTACCATTACACCTCACCCAAGCGACGCCCCTCGGATTGGCTGCTTACCACCCACCCCCTGCCATTAGTACCTTTGCTCTTAATTCGTCTCTTCAGCCTCGCATATGAACTATCGGCCGTCCATTGCAAATCCAGTTCGTGCCCCTTTGCCGCTAACCGTAGAGCAAATGGGCCAAGCCCTTGCTTTCTCTCTCGCGCGCGCGCGACAAATATCCCTCTCTCTGCCCCCGTTGCCATTGCCTCTTGAACACGCGCGCAAAATGACCGCAAATCTTCGCGTAATATCATCTTGCAACCCACAAACTCCCCACCCCCCACCCTCAGGGCTCAAACTCTGATTTGTGTAGGGCGCCTCTTCATTCGTAGTCTGTCACCGCCCAGTGGTTAGCCTTGGACTTGGAAACTCGACCTCTGAATCAATCAAGTCCTAGAGCGGCCGTCATCCCCCCGCCCCTAGCCAAAAACAATATCACACACCATCCTGCTTTCAGTCGCCAAACAAACATCCCAAGCAAGAAACCCTCCCTCATTTATTAAAAAACCCCCTTCAAAACACAACGGCTCAGCTCAGGGAAATGTGGGCGCACGCACCTGTCCAAACAATACTCTTCCCTGCAACCTTCTCACGATAGTTGCAAAAACACTTTGCCTTGCCCGACTCGGCAAAGCATGCCTGATCGGCGGCGCAAGCCCATCCTCAGTCCGCTTCAACCACTTCGGCGCTTTCCCACAGTCGCCGACACATTTCCTCGGCTTCGTTTCGACTGCGCGCTTGCTCGCTCTCGAAGCTTTGCCGCCCTTCAAACTCGCCTTCTGTTCGACTACTCCTCGCTTTCTCGAAGCTGACTCGCGATCTCCGCGATCCCGCTCCATCCGTTTCAGCAACCCCGTCATTGAAACTCGTGCTCAGACTGTTTGCTCCCGTTCCGTTTCCATTCGCCTTTTGCTGCTGCTGCTGCTTGGATGCCCGCATCTTGACTGCCATGCCCGGCATTTGCGAGATGCGCGCAACCGCGTCCGCTATCGGGTTGCGGTATCTTCGCACTACACTGTATTCAACCGCAACGTGGTTAAACTGCTGCAGCAGCCGTGGGTCCAACCGTCCCTCGCCATTTGCATTATACTGTATGCTCGACTGAAGGTACGTCGGCCCGCCCGTCCGTGGAAGAGTCACGGGAACCAGCTTCTGTGGCTCCACGTTGGATGATGCTCGTTGCAACATGAGCTTCTGTTGAGTCCGTGACGGCGGCAGGTTGGTAGGTGTCGTCGTGCCTGACCGCTGCGGCGTCTTCGACGGCGTGTCTGTACCGCCACTAAAGTTTGGCATTGACTTGTTCCTTTTCATCTTGTCCAGTCCGCCTCCCTCGTCCTCGTCCTTGGCACCGCGCCCGGCCATGTACTCGCCCTCGTGTGGTGTTCCTGCTGAACCATCACCGTCCATGAACCGTGATACTAGGTCGCGCCCGGATGTGTCCACCAGCGTCGACCCCACAGATCCAGCCGTGTGGCTAAGGAGATTGTGCCGGTCCGACGACGACACTACCGTGGCCGCGACTGACGTTGTTTTGGGAGGGACATGATGCGAGGCACTACGCTGGAGTAGACGTGAAGTAATCATGTCAGCATCCGGAGGCCTCGAGTGCTGGTACGAGCTCCCTCCGTTGATTTGTGTGCTGCTGCGTGTGCGGTCGACAACTGGCTGAGCTGCTTGCGTTGGCTGTTCCCGGATCGCGCTTATTTGCTGTGATGGCTCCCCCCTGTTTCTCTCCATGTTGATCTCAGCCGCCCGGTGTTGTGCGTCGAGTATGACCGAGTTGGAGCGCGTGTTGGATCGAGTCGTTGTTGGTGACTGAGACGCACTCTCTTCCGTCCATCCGGCCTCGTCGCCATCCTCGTCCTCGTTGGCGAGGTCGAAATGCACTCCTGCACCTGGCTCGGGCGATGATTGGCGAGATCGGTTGGGTGTCGCGAGTGCGCGCCTCGACACAGCATGATCGCCCTTGGACTTGAGCCCGTGTTTGCCGTGCCCTTGTCGCGGCGGCAAATGACCGCTCGAGTGGTTTCTACGTAGGTTGGCCTGCACCTGTGCCTGGTTTGCTCTCACAATAGCACCAGATGATGCATGGCGCTTGAAGCCCGGCCGCGAGTGAGGGCTGCTGGGCGCAGAGACAGAATTACCCGACTGCGAACGACGATGGTGTCGGCCGCCGTGTTCAGCCCCTTGCTGCGCCTGCTGTGCCTGCTTCTCGGCCTTGCTGAGCTTGTTGAGGTTCTTGCCAAACGATGTATTCCTCTGTACGCGCTGGCCAACAACATGGTGCCGCTGGGCTTTGTGGTGCGTAGGCCGTTGGTGGCCCCCCTCGGACGGCGACTGCGAAATGTGCGACTGCGACGACGACTGTCTGGTCATTGGCGTTGGCCTCTTGGACCGCGAATGAGATTCGTCGTCCGAAGCCATGCTCACGTCTGACTGTACGGCTGCGTCCTGTCTTTCAAGTGGAGTCGCGGCTGCGGTTGGGTCGTCGGTGGTGCATATACTGCTGTAATGGTGCGTCGCTGTCTCTGCGCGTGGCAGCAACAAAGTGGAGCAGCCAGCGGAGAGGTTCGTCGTGCTGGCGGCCGAGATGATCTAGCGGGCGGCCATGGACATTCAATTGCGTGCGAGGGAGCGTTGGGACGTCGTACAGCGTGCCACGTCGGATCCAATAACAATGAATGGAGATGGTGGAGTGCATTGCTGTCCGGTCAAATAAGCAGGCGGTCAATCAGCCCCAGCCGCTTCGGTTCACCGCGGCCCGATCCCACACGTCATATGACCGCAACCTCCGTCTACCACCCACCCCCTCTTCATCGACGGCGCAGATATACCACGCACTTAGTGTTCCAAACAAACATCACTTATGATACCAAAGAGTTTGTTTCTTTTTCGCCTGTCCATGGCTTGGCACTTGTCATAATCACAGTATACATACTTGCATGCCTAACTATGTCTTCCTCTAGATCATGCAATCGTAGTGTCTCATACATCTTCTAGCATCGATTCGTCGCCCATCCATGTCCGTTGATAACTATGTCCTTACAATATAGACCGGATTGATTGTCCACTCACTTTTGCTTTGTGATATGCTGCTATTCCATCGTCCTGTGCTCTCTAGGCCTTCCCTTGTCAGGCTTCGGCCTGTTCGAATCGCCGCCTTCACTAGTCAAATCACAAAATTTTGAGCAAGCCTCTTCAGCTTGCATCTCATCCCCCGTTGTAATGCTGCTCGCTGCTGACTGACTTGACGTTGTGCCGGGTTCATTCCGTCAATACAACCGAAAGACGACGTAGTAAGCATCGATTCGCGGCGCGACCGGTACGACGGGGGCGGTGGGCCGGAGGAGTATGTAGGGGCATCGGACAAATCTCCCACGGAGTCTTCGCGAACAAGACCTGCTAATTCTGTAGACGGCCTTGTGCTGTCTGTGCCTCGCCCTGTGCGCATAAAAGTCCTGTAGACATGTCGCTCAGGGTCATTTTCCACGTCACCGAATCTTGCACTGTTGGGTGTGCCATGTCGAAAAGGAGTACACTCTCGTGAATCGCTGACAGATATCAATAACCTGTGACGCGCCGATGTTTGCCGCCTCGGCGACGGTATCAAAGGTTTTAGGAAGGACGTCGATCGTGTTATGAGCATAGGAGTGGTATCTTCTTGGACGTTGTCGTAGGAAATAGACAGAGGAGTTATGCACACTGATTGTCTTCTCCTCCGCTTCTTACCCGGGAGATGCGCAGACTTGTTACGTAGTATTGAAGGCATCTGAACTTGCACCTTTCTAGCCGAACGTCGGAAACATGGCGTTTGTTGTTTTGTAGCTGTTGTCGGCCTGGCTATGCCTAAGGCTACAGATAGTGGCACAGCATATTGGGCGACTGCCGAGCCTTTGACATTGGGAACTGTTGCCTCTTTCCAGTATGAGATCCCAGACATGAGCGGCGGTGATGGTGTGTTTACACTAGCTTCCAGCCATGCATTGACATTCCGAAAGACGCTCGAGTCTGGTCGTGTTAGGCGGATTGGAGGCAGAATCGGTGGGTGAGATGAGACACGTCTGCTATCAACCGGTGTTCTTGGTGCAAGGAAGATCACGTCTATCTTGGACACATCCACACATGCTGGTTTTGTGAACGACCGCTCGGAGTCTGTCTTTCGCTGTGTGTATGTGATTTCTTCTGTATCCTTTAACCTCTGTCGTGATATCGCCTTTCGCACGCGCTTATACAGCCATTCCCTCACGTTTCTGTACTTCTTATTGGATGAAGAAACTTCGTTATCTTTATTGGTGAAGGTCATGTTGAATGCCTGTGAAGGTTTTGCTTGCGAGAATGTCGTACTGTGATTGTAATGCACGGCAGTAATGTGGAAGAGATTGGAGCGAGAATGCGGTGACGATGCCGTTCAGGTTGATGAGGTGGTTATTGTGAAAAATGACATTTAGGTGGTTGCTGTATACAAATGTCATAAGTGTGATGAGGCAGGAGCAGAGTGGCAGTCACCTCAAGCACTCTGGGCAGGCACGCTCCGAGTGAGTTTGTCGCTTAACAAAAAATGGTAATTCACGGAGTGAATCAAATTATCAAAACGACAATTCATTTGTCCGAACAGTCTTCATTCATTCATTCGTACACATCTCCTCAAACGCCAAGCCGCCTGCCGTAGAGGATGACCCATGGTTTTATCCTCCCTCACTTGTTAAATGATCAGGCAAGATGCGACAGACAAGTCAGGTTTAGCAGCAGGGAATTCCTTGGATCTTTGTATCCGAAACACATTCTCAAAGTTACAATCTTCCTTCGATAAGAATGAGTTGTTGTATATAAAACAAGGCTGGGACACCCTGTACTCACACCCCTGGTAGATTTACGCCACACAGATGTAAGCCACATGATGCCCCAATTTCACGCCGTCAAGTAACATGCTGATAGCCGAAGCCTTGAATTGGTTTCCGAGTTTTGTATTGATTATATATGTAGCCTGTCCAGTTCTTTCCCCGGGCACCGCCAATTTATCTAATATCTAAGGAGATGGAATTTTATAAAAGGGTATATACAAATGATGAGCAAGATGGCCTCCCAAGTGTTGTGCCAACGAAGGCGTGTAGAATCTACAAAGGAAAACGACATTCTCAGTGTGAAATGTACAAGTATTAGTTAAAGGGTATACAGGTGATCAAAGGTGGGTATCAAATGACAAGGCCGGGTATATGAATATGCGCACGGTGGGGCCAAGCTGAAGAAACAGAGAAAAGAAAATCGAAATGTGAACATAGGAAATTGACAACAAAGGAAAAAAAGGCCAACATTGTTGAATAGACATGACCATCAATCATGCTACCCCTTTGCGAAAACATGTCCTATTGATATAGACAGTCTTGGCGGGAGGGACGTCTTATGAACCCATGGATACACCGCCATCGTTGGAGCCGACGAAGCCTGTTTGCATACCCATGTCGAGGCGCAAAAACTGGTCTTGGTGGTTGTCGAGACCGTCCATACCAGCTGGCATGCCCATGGAACCGCTCATACCGCCCATGTTGCTTTGGTTCAGGTTGTGCGGATCCATCATCGCCAGTGACTCGCGTCGGCTACTGTCGGCTGAGCTGACATGTTGCAGATGGGGCGAGAGTTGGTGTTGCTGATGTGGGTGAAAGTCTTGATTCCGTGACTGGTTCATGTGCTGACGAGCTGCTGCCCATGCTTGGGCTTGGGCCTGAGCTTGGGCGATTTGGGCTTGCGTGATATGCTGGGTCGTCTGCATGTGGGACTGGAACTGTTGCTGATGGTGTGGCGGCGTGGGCTGAAGAGGCGTCGTGTGATGGTGCTGAGGCTGGGACTGGTGAACTGATTGTCGATGTGCCTGGTGATGGAGGTGGTGCATGGCGTCTTCCTCGTCGTTCGTGTGCGGGGTGAGATCGATTCCATCGTCATCATCGCCTTCTGCGTCAACTTGATCGCTACCAACATCACCATTGACCGTCGCTGGCGCGCTAAAAGGCATACTGGTCTCCGCCTTGACTGGACTGCCTTGTCTGGGCTGATTAACAGTGGCGTACACCTGTGCCGTCTGGCTAGCCATGGAGCTACGTGAACTGGCGTCGCCGGGCAATGGCTTCTGAGCAGCCAGGCCTGAAACAGACACCCTGTTTTCACGTATGGCTGTTCGCCATTTGTCAATCAGGCGGTCATAGTCCCAGTTGCGGTAGTCCATGCCGTGCTTTGCAAGCTCCTTGGTCGTGTCGACACCCAGATTGATGCTGATGGGTGACATGTCGGGGCCACCGGACGACCAGCGGCTAGCTTTGAGATATTCATTCTCTCTACGGGCGTTCTCTAGCTGGACTTCTGCTTCTCGTCGTCGGTCATCAGCACGGGCATAGCAGCGTAGAATTTCAATCTGCCAGTAATCCTGTCTCGTCTGGTCGGAATGCTGGCTCCAGTGGTGGTAGGCATCCGCAATGTGGCCAAAGAGTCGTTGGGGGTCGTGGTCGAAGAGTGGTGGGGTGGGAAGGGGCGAGGAAGTAGCTGAGGAAGGAGCATTGGGGTTGGAGGTTCCAGAGGGAAACACTTGGTTGAGGTGTCGCTGGCGCTGGTAGGCAAGCAGGCGCTCGCGCACCTGCTTATTCAGCGCTTCAAACTGCTTCTGCCCGGGCGGGGCGATGGACCATGACTCGGCAGTCGGAAAGGGCGTGGGGGAGAAGAGAGTTGAGGGTGCGGGGAGGATGTGGAGGCATAGCGATGGAAAATTTTGGGCGTAGGGATCAAAGTCGAAGAGGCCGATACCTGATGCTTTTGCACTGCGTCTGTTTAGTAATGGAGCAAAGGTGGTGGGCTGGGTTGGGTGGGGTGACGGGCTTACTTTGCTTCACGTACGCTCTTCAACAGCTCGCGCAGGGCCATCTCGGTGGCGGCCGCAATTTCGACCTCTTCGCTCGTCTTCTGCCTCTGGTCGAGATCTGCCTTTCGCAGCTGACGGGAAGCATCTCGGCGGGGGTCTGGTGTCTTTGTCAGGAGGCGCGAGGGGCGGTGGCCAGCCCCCCAAGTGACGTCCTTGAAGGCACCTCTGGATTTGCCCACTTCGAGCGAGTCGTCGTCGTCATCGGGGCTCTGCATGAGCATGGACGAGTCTTCGCTGGCTATGCGCTTCTTGGTGGCGGGGGTGCTGGCGCCGCTCTCATCGCGCCTGGGAGTGGAGACGCTGCCCTTTGCCTGGCGCCTGGTGATGCCGCCGCGCAGCTTACGGATTTCATCGACGACATGGATGCCGTCTGGGGCCTTTGGGTTCTTGGCTCGGATGTAGAGGTCGAGGTGGCGTCCGAGGCTGGAGGAGGTGAATGCCTGGCCGCAAAAGGGGCAGTTCTTGTCTTTTGCAGCCTTGAGCTGCGGTTCAGTGGCAGAGCGAGGCGGCGAGGATGGTTCGGGTTCGCCCATGGTGTTTGTCGCAGACTCCGACCGGTCTTCAGGGTTCCCAGGCTCGAGCTTAGTTCAAAACGAAATGTCCTTCATGCACGGCGGTCGGAGGATTAAGGGCCACGGGCTAGCTATGCCATTATTATTATTACGACGGGTAGAGGGGTAGAGGGGGCAGAGTAAGGAAAATGGGCATAGTGCACGCCAATGGCAAATGAGTGAAGACCAATTGGACGCTGCAGTCGAAGAGAGCGACGCGTGGGAGCAATATTACTTTGGCTGCTTGGCGTGAAAAGCTGCCCCTAAACCTCCTCGCGCGCACCGTGATGCGCGCGCAGATGCCGCCAAGCCGCCTGTGCGTACAGCGGGAAGCAAGCCCGCCCGAAGCTGCTGGCCCTGGCGTCTGTCAGACGACGTCGAGGCGAGTCGAAATGCCACGACGGGGTCGGCACTTTTGTGTCGTTGCGCCGTGAGCATCATGGTTGGTGGGATGCTGGTGGTGATACACGCGTGTCTCTCTCCTCATCGTCATCATCACCAACAAGGGAGAACAGCTCCAGCACTAGTAAGTACTATCCCTCCTCATCACCATCGTCCTCGCCCACCATCGCCCTGACCAGCCAGCCAACCAGCCAACCAACCAACCACCACCACTAACCACCACCCTTCACGCCAACGCCGCCCTGCCTAGCCGGCCTGCCGTTCGTGCCGCAATCTCCTCATACTCATCCATACCGCCTGCTAGCCTCTGGACCTGCCCTTTGCACAGCCGAAAAACGGTTCCCGGAGCGACCCCTGTCTCTGCCTCGTCGTCTGAGTCGCTCTCGTCGCCGCCAGCCTCGCCCTCGGGCCTGCGAACCCCTGGCGCTAGCTTGTACAGCCACTCTCCCTCCACGGCGGTTCTGTGGGGCGGTCAATAGTTGAACCTTGCTATGACTATTTCCAGCGAGCGTCGAGAAGACATCCAGCTCGGGCTATCACGTACCTCATGAAGAATCGATCGTGGCTCACCACCAATAACGCCCCATTGTACCCCCTCAACGCTAGCACCAGGCCCATGATTGTATCTCCGTCCAGGTGCGTCGTCACCTCGTCCAGAATCAGCACATGCGGCGGCGGCCACAGCAACTTGGCCAGCGCAACCCGAACCTTTTGCCCTCCCGACAGCAACACTAGTGGCACGTCTGATACTGTATGGCCGTGCAGACCCAGACCCCCTAGAACCCCTCGCACATCCTTTTCCTGCACATCATCACCGACCGAATTCATTACATGCCCGAGGGCGGTTAGTTGAGGATCCGCGGACGCTATTGCAGTAATCTCTTCCACCGACTGCTGCGAGAAGCGACCAACTCTCGCCCTGGCATGCCGCGTAATGCTTCCTGACGTTGGCACGAGACCATCTCCATTGCTGCCCATGATCAGGGACACTAACGTCGTTTTTCCACACCCGTTGAGACCAGCCAGTCCAATGCGCGCGCCTGCGTGTATCGTCAAGCTAACATCCCTCAAGATTGGCGCCTTCCTGCTCGTGGGGTATGCGAACGACACTTTGTCCAGGTTTACCAATGCGCCTGGGAAGGGCAGGTCGGGTGGCTGACGCGGAAATGACAGCTCTATTGGGGCATCAAAGTCTGGTATCTCAATCTCCCCACGGCACGACGTATGATAACCTGCAAGGTCACGGTTGAGCTTGAACCGACCACCTTTGGCACTGACCTGCATTCCCATTCGGTCGTCAAGTTTCTTCCTCCTGGATGCGGCCTGTTTGAGCTTTTTATCGTCTCCCTTGTCCTTAGCAGCTCTGATATTGCCTGCGATGGTCTTTTCCATGTGCTTTCTTTGCTTGTCCTGTGCCTCCTTCATCTTGGTCAAGTACCGAAATTTCTTCCATCTCTCCCGCTCATATAAGCTTAAATTACCACGGAAAGGCTCGAGTTGCTGATTGCGCAGGACGAGGAGCTCTTCAGCGACTGCATCTCCGAAGTCACGATCGTGTGTTGTGATCAGGACTGTCGTATTTTTAAGATTATTAATATACCCCTGTAGCCATATGATCGATGGCAAGTCGAGAAAGTTGGTAGGCTCATCTAACAATAGTACATCAGCGTACTGTGTTAGTGCGCAGGCGAGCTCGCAGCGTGTCCTCCAACCTCCGGATAGCTCTGACGTCGGATCATCAATACGATCCTCTTTGAATCCAAGGCCGAGTAGAACCATCCGGGCCTTGGACTCTGCAGCGTTTGCGTCCATGAGATCCAGTGAAGCCTGCACTTCAGAGAGCATGCTCACAGCAGCCTGAGTCTCTTCGCTCAGCGTCATAGGATCCATATCTCCTTCACTCTCGGCCAAACGCTTCTCGGACTCTTGAAATAGCTCTTCAAGCTTGACCAGTTCCTTTCTTGCCTGCTTCCCCCGGGCGCCACTCCTTCTCTCCGCAATAAGTTGCCCTTCTCTTAATTGCAAACCCAGCCTAGCATGGCCAATGCGTCTATAAGCCCGGACTGGCGCAATGGGGTCAATAGAGTTCTCAACCGCGTCGCTAAGTGTCATGGCTTCCTGCACATAGCGTTCCCGGACCCGGTCGCTTCGGACCACATGTTGTAATACAGTCTCGCTCTCTAGCCTCAGCCCGTCCGTCATCCGCCCGAGCCCTGGACCACCCGTCTGCCCCAAGAGCAGGATGCGCGTACTGGAAGGAATACCCGGGACCAGTCCGTCGGCAATGGCTGTGAGCAATGTCGACTTGCCCGTTCCGTTCCGTCCGACTAGCACGTAGTGGCGCGCTTCTACCAAGTGCAGGGTCGTCCGTGAGACTAGTTCTCGGTTCCCAACTGCAATACTCAGGTCCTTGACGAGAATCTGTACACGACCTATATGAGCTGACGATCCTTGTTCCTTGTACTGACGTATGAGAAGTTGGTATGTTAACGTACCTCTTTCGAAGCAGGCGCGTCAAGCGCATCCAGTGCATACCGTGATTGCTGCGCTGTGACTGTGATATGACTTCCACACGGATGTCCTTCCGCTCCCGCTGCCGCCACCACTTCTTTAACTTTTCTCACCATGCTTCTTTTTGATCACCAGCCAGCTGCTGTCTGTGTGCCAAGTAAACTTTGCTTTGTGCCCTGCGCTGATTGACTCGATTACTGGGGATGTTAATGTCGTCTATGACTCTTAATTCTTGCAAGGGCATTCCTTCAGCTCATTTATATCACTTTGGGATATATCTCCATGATGTATTTTGTTTTAGCGAAGCTGGTATGATAAAAACGCGCGGAGATTGAGACAGAATGAGTCGATTCCGACTCCTCTGATTGGCTGCGCTATGTACGTAGTACGGGTGACTAAGATTGGTGTGGGGAGGAAGACGAGAACCATTTACATCGTGACTTCCTGTTTTGGTTATTGATTCCACCGGCCTGTTCCTTTGGTGTTTTGACTGATAATTAATTATGGAGTTTGCAATGCAAGAGCTGAAAGTTCTGGACATTGCACCAGGGTGACGTACCCGGGTAGTGTGTGCTGGACACTTCAGCTAATTTGAAAGTCTGGATTACTTGCCTGTACATTTTTGCTTTTTCTTTTTCCCATAGTACAGCTAGTACGCGCAAGCTGAACTTGTCCATCAATCAAGAAGAGGATCTACACATTCTTGTTGTATGTTGGTCAGACTTGGCATCGACCAAACCATGATTGCCGTTTCAAGTAAATCACGTAGATCATAGATCAGCACACACACACACATAACCCCCATCCCCTCATCCCAGCACTTGCATGTCTATCTTTTTCAAAAAGTCAAAGTTACAATACTCTAGAACCTATGCCCAATCTCCACACAAATTTACAACTCACACACACACACACACACACACACACACAAGTCCAGCCCAACGCCCCTCACCCTTTTTTTTGTGTGTTGCCCCGCAAAAGATATTATAGTTACTTAGTGGCTGCCCCCTATGGCTTGCCCCCATCGCATGTCTTTCTCCAATGAAAATCACACATCCTTTCTCAAACGGATGTGCGGAGAGAGAGAAAGAGAGACAAAAAAATTGCGTTTGTTTCTTATTTTCCGATTGGCTCGTTCTGGGGCAAATATATCTCCCCTTTTTTTTCTGATCTCGCCTACTTACCACGGATGTATACAGGCGAATATCGGAGGTTGGAAAAAAAAATAAGCTTTAGGGCTATGCTTTGTGATTGGTTGTTTCGGGGAAATAGTAGGTTGGAGCTGAGGGTATATGACGGTGGTGGTGGTACGAGGAATAATAGGGATGTTAGGTATTAATTTTATAGGGTTAAGTTTCTTCTGTTTTCTTTTTGCGGTAGTATTTGCGAATCGTCAGATTTTTGTAAGGGTTAGGGTTCGATCATTTTCCTTCAGCATTCAGCTACAGTGTGGCGTATGTGTCCCGTCTGCTTCTCAGCTCGTCTTTTCTCGGGCGTATTCGCTCGTGCCGATGTCGCACCGCAGTTGGAGTATTGGAGAAGAGATTGAGATTAGGTAGACCCCAGTTGACACACTAGGAGATTCAGCTCTCCGGGCGCTGGTACTAGTGGTCTGCCATGTATGCCCAAAAGTCGCCTCTTCATGTCTGTTTTCTGGTCTGGAGACTTAGGCATCCCACCATATACCGCTCAGGAGCCACCATCTTGCGCGTGCCGATCGAGTGCCAAAGGGCGGTGAAGCCGTGCGTTGCGGTTACAAGGAAGAAACATGCTATATCGAGCAGTTCTGTGTGCCTAGAAATGGTAGCTTATTGCGAGAATATAATATTGTATCATTCGTTCTTCGGTTGCTTCTGTTTTATATGGCGATGGGTAGAAATGCGACATGTCTGTGTCAGCGTACCGGTATTTCAAGAAACCTGGCCTGTCTTCTTATTCCCGAAAGGCTCATGTCTGTCGATGTGCAGGGGTACTCTTATAGCCCTGGTCCCATCTTCTTGCATGCTTTGTCGTGAATCATGTATCAAGGAAGTTCAAAACATTCTGAATCTTATGCTTTGCGTTGTCCT